TCTTTAATCTCTTTAACGGCGTCCGTCAAACCGTATTCACCCTGCAAAAATTAAATTCAACTATTACCAAATTGGACTAATACAAAAGCAATTAAATGTCGTTACCGTTTCATATTGCAACATTCGACTCAAAGCATCATTTAATTGCTTATCCTTTTCGTAAGCCTCTTCCTCGGCCTTTCTAGAGCGTTCTTGCTCAAGTTTCAAATTTCTTTCCAATTCTTTATTCGTTTTTTGCAAAATGTTTATCTGATCAATATGCTTTACTTGAAAAGCGCTTCCTTAATTCAATAAAATACAATTTCAATCTTAATGTATAATATTTAGAACTGTAATCAAACTACACTACCAATGGTAGCTACCCCTTTCTTCTTTTAGATCTTCCATTTGGGCTGCAACTGCGTTTAATTCTTCTGTCATTACGGTTATTTCCTTCTGCATAGTATGAATTTGTTGTTCCTTTTCTACCAATGCTTGCGTAAGCGCCGTAACCGATGCACGATCTGTGTCCATTTGGTAAGCTGTTAGTTGTTCTCGAAGTTCTTTAATTACCGTTTCAGACTTCAAAACTTCTCCATCCTTTTTGTTAATCTCATCCTAAAAAGATGAATTAAAAAATTCTTGTATTCCAAGCATTCTTTGTAACCCAACGTATAGTAGATACATTGCAATTACAATATTCGCTGATACTAGGCTTCTGTACGTGAATTCTTAATGTATTGAATCTCAGATTTACAGCCGATCGTATGTTAATTATCACTTCATTTTATGGTTTTTAACCGATACTTTCCAGTAATATTAAAGTAATATAATCAATCACAGTATAAACATACATGGTTTTATCGGTTTAATATGAATTTACCTGCCATTCCTTCGCTCGCAGACTAACAGCTTTCATAACTTCATTCTCTAGGTCTGATTTCTTATTGGAAAATTGTAATAATTCTTCCACCTGTATTAAATCGTATAGATGAATCCTGTAAGTTTCACAATCTTCTAAAAACCGTTATTAATTCAAAAAAAGATCGAAACTTTAATTGTAATCAATCAATGCTTCCATAACATACTGTAGTGGTCTACTGTACTATATCGTTCAGTATTACAGCATCTTAATGATACTTAATGATAATTTAAATCCTAATAAAATATTGATTAGCCTGCCAAGTATAATAGCACATGTAGTTCATGTGGCTTTAACGTAACCTTTAGTTTGTAATAATCTCTTTCTTTCGCAGCTTTATCAAGAAGCGCATTAGTATTCAGTATTGATTCCTACTCAAGATAAAGTTTACTTTAATTTAAGAACAATATTAAAGCGGTTATAATCACGATCGGAATCTACTAGCGACCGTGTGCAACCCAAGAACACGCATCTAGAAATACCTTAAAGTTATTGATTTTAATTGTAGTTTTGTCCATTTCTTGAACATACTGCTCCTCTTGCTTCGTTAATTTTCTGATTATTTCAGTGAGTTCCAAATTTTCATTGCGCAGTCTCTTTCGTTTAAGAAATATAAATATAGTATAGCATATAGATTCGTAAAAAACAGTATTTGAGAAGCAAACTGTATATCAATTATTTGCATATTATCTAACTATATATATAAGTGATCAAAAATTTTGTCAAAGAGACTATACTGGTACTAATAGTTGCTTACGTTATTTTCATCGAGAGCTTGCGAAAGTTCACGGTTTCTAGTCCTCATTTTTTCTTTGATTTCAATATCACTTCCATGATGTTTCAGCTGCAGACTATTACCCTATACGAGTATGTAGCAGTATAAATTTTTTGTGTATTTATATATACACATTTAAATAGATTGGATAATTAGACATCAGTCTTATGATTTAAAGCATTGCTTCGGCAATTTAAATGATTTTATACCTGCGTTTGCAATTGTTGCTGGTACTCTCTGACATCCGAATGAAGCCTATCACACTTGTAAAAATACGGTATCAAATCGAGAGAAAGGCAGTACAGAGTCCTACATGACTAAGTCACCTACTTCAAGCTTGAGTTCAGTTATTCGATCCTGAGAAAATGTGAGATCCTCTTGCAACTGAAAAGTATTGATAATTTTGGTTAACTGTTAGTTGATAATTCTCGCTGAGGATTTCAGAACTATTCACATATATATATATATATTGTATGCAATATCCGTATAACATATATATTCATATAAACATACATGTATATGTATGTGTATACATCAGCTCATATACATTAACTGCTAGTATGATTGACTGCTAGCCGTGTAGCCCTAAAAATATTTAAGCTAGAAATCTTACAATTATCAATCACTTGTTTACCCTATTGTTGATTTCTTGATAATCATTAGATTGTTTCTCTGTTTCTCTTAGTCTAAGTTCAAGTGACTACAAATTACAGAGCTTATAAACTTTAAAATGAACCTACTGAGCTTTTTAATAAGGAAATGATTCTAAATAAAACCTGAATTTTCCTTTGTAATTCTTTTTTTTCACTGATAAGCAATATTAATTCGCGACCACTTCCCGCTTGTGCTACAGTAGCTTGCTATAAATGATAAAGGACATGAGACTACCTACTGATGTAGGAGTTACTGTACATATGTATTACCACCTGTATTTCATCACGCTCATTCTCAAGTTGATGAAGCTCCTTGAGTAATTCCTGTTCTGTAACGATATAAGCAGATTATAACACAGCTAATCTTTATGTCGTATTCACTGGTTAGCTATTTAAATTTCATAAAAATACTTCTACAAAATGCACAACCTGTAGTTCTAAATTTGCTAATCCATTTCTCAGTCTCTCTTTCAGTTTCTGTAACTTTTTCCAATTTATTCTAATACGAGTATATAATGAAAGAGTGTGAGAGTTTTACGGTTGTTGATACTACCAATAGAACCACCGTATAGTATAAACATGAGTAACTTAGAGCACTATGCATACATATCAAATTATATTTTACAAAATTTACGATCAAGTAATTGATACCCTTGCAAATGTTTTCAGTACGTTCAGTAAGAGGGTCGTTTGTTTGATGTTAATTGCTTCTATTTCACTCTCTGTAAATTGGATCTATACAGTAAATAGAAATATTATAAAATAAGGGTCGATGTGAATCGAGTCTTATCATATTACTTTAAAATCTTGTATGATTATGACACTAAATACTACACCAATACTTTCAACATATCTTTAATAAATAATTCGTCCGCAGCTGTTAACGTTTCAGAACGTATTTTTTTAAGTTTTCCCCAGTTAATAATTCCATCTTGCACAGCTTCAGTATTTTCGTTGAGTGGCTGACTGCTAGTACTAGGGGCCTCTGCTCGCTTTCTTCTACCTGGCCGCAACCTAGAAGACATTCTGTAACAGTATGTTAATTAAAATCTATACATAGCTACTTTGGTAAATTAATTTCGCATTTCAATTAGGCAATTAATAATCTCAATCGGTATGCTAATGCCAGTTTTCTTTACATCGTAAATCAGGCTTTTTTACCTAGCTTAATTAAATAGTTTTCAGCCTTCACTGGCAAATTCCCGAACTGCAGAAATACAGTAGTAAATTCGTTTTGCTCCTGCTCATCGGAGTGCACAGTGCACTATTGTAAATAAAAATGTACACTGTATAATCGCAGATGCGCATGCCGAGCTCCGCTATATCGTACTTTCGTAAACTGTACTGTACTGTACAGTACGATACTGAGCCTACAGTACAGTACAGTACAGTATACTTGTACTGTACAGTACTGTACTGTACTGCTGCAAAAGACTATTGTACAGTATACAGTACAGTACACTACTGTACAGTAAATTACGAACCAGAGTTGCGCCAGTTGCGCTGATATCAGTTATAACTGTCAGAATCAATATGATCTCAATACAGGTACAGGCAGCAGGCAGGTCAAGGTACAGCGTAAGTACTTGGCGTAGTTAGTCACCGGTAAATACACCTTAAATCGTTACATATCGTGGAAATTGTCAATCCTATTCTTTTTCATTTATTAATTGAAGCCAAAAACACATATTCGTTTAAGCTCATTTACGCAAGGATTGTTGTTGTTTATATAAGCTTTTCTGAGTTCTTTTATTCTTATTGGTATGAAGTCGCATGCATATCCACTAGTGAAGCTGCACCTTAAACGTTTCTATTATCAAGATCCAGAGGCACAGATCCTTATATTATGATAGATTATTTCTAATCACATGATCAATAACGTAATCGTGCACGAAGTCGCTATTCTGTACACTGTTATATAATAAATAAATAAATAAGTAGATATGCTAGTTGTTTGTGGCACTGCTCCGTAAATGCCATTTACAACAATACTGTATTCAGTAAGTGATATTAACGTGTCGTAAATCGTAAATTTGATGTTCGCATCAGAATACTAGACTGCATTTACTAGTGACAAAACCCACCTCTTTCTCCAAAATGTGATACATTCGTAATTTTATGTATAGTGAGTCTTACGATTACACATCTAATTATAATACTCATGCCATACTACAGCATATAGTTAATACAACAATTTGTTGGAGCTGTTTGTATGACAGTTTATAACGAACATATCGAAGTCATTACACTAAAACGATAACTAACTGTAAATCAATTCAGAATTTCAGATATCTACGCACAGTAAATGAAATGGGACCTCGTGCTGTCTTAGTTTTAAGTGTGATCGGAATTAAATTCGATAACTGCATATTTACAAGCAGCATTTGTGTAACATTCAAGCTACATGCACTTTCTTATACGTTTCAATAAAGCTATTGTGATATCTGATTTTATTATACGTATTTGATTGAAAATCTTTAACATCCAGAATACTATCTCTTTCATTTATTCTATCGTATTGTGTTTATTTTTGCCACTCAAAATTAAAGTTCTTCAATCAACAAATTATCATTTTATTAATGGCACTAGAGCGTCTATTAATTAAATATTTGCAACTCTCCAGATAGCGACTATAATTTTAACTTTACTTTAATCCTAAAATTCACACCATTTAATCGACGAGAACATGCCATTGAGCTATCGGCCTTCTAGGAGACGACAGCATATCACTCCAATGACGCAACTCAGCTCCTGATTCAGACCCCCCTACCACGACTTGCCCTATAAGGTCACTTTTACCAAGCCTGTCATGGTCCATTACTGCCAAGACAATTTTTGTGTCTTTAATTTTTTCGAAAGGTACTTTAAACATATACGCTTCGTTCCAAACAGGATCTAATGTTCTCTTCTTTACAATAGTCTTTTTCTTCTTTATCCTCTTACCATCAATAATTAACGAAATTTTGACGTATGGATCTAGATATGTAATTTTTCAGTTAACGAACATAATTTCTATAAGAAGTTGTGATTTTACTTAAATTATAATACCTCGTATACTCGTATTACATTATGTATCGACAATGCAGCTATAATACAATTCAGGCTTTGTAACAGTTTAAGATTAAAAAAAGTGTCGCATGTCGAACGCGCCTATAGCTGGTTATGTATAGTCTTACCCGACGATCCTCCGACATCCATCTTTTTTAATCCTTTAGCTTCCATAATTCCAATAGTTAATTTTCCACCGGTTGGGACATATCGTAAGGAGAAACATAACTCACCAAGTTCCGATTTCCCCTGTGTCAATCATTGGGTTAGGGTTAATAAAAATAGCGGTTAATTATAATAACCCTACGTTTAGCGGTGTGAGCTAGTAGAATGTAAGTTGCAAAGAGTCAATATGAACATCTGTTCTAACCGATAGCTAAAACTCATACCTCCTTGCTTGAGTCTGCCTTTTCCAGTGCAGACCATTGCTCTAAGTTTTCGCACAAATCTACGTCTGCGATTGGAATACGTAAATGGCCGATAACATCATGTCTAGAAAATCTATCATGATCATATACTGAGAATAGTACTGTTCTATTTTGTAATTCACTGTATGGTACTTTAATTGTTACTGATTCATTAAATATTGGATTTAGCGTTTTGTACTGAACTTTAGTAACCAATTTTTTCTTTCGATCTGGTAAAAGATAAATTTTAACATAAGGGTCTGAAGCTCCACCTATATCCATTACTGGAAAATTTTTTCCCTCCAAAACGGTAATAGTTAACTCGGAAGATTGAAAGTCGTATTCCATTGCATATTTTAATTCCCCAACATATTCAGAAGGGTCTATTTGCTTTGATTCTAATTCCATTTCTTTATTCACTCCTTCAACTTCTGGTTGAACTCGCTCTTTTAAGCTTACTCCCAAAGATTGCGCTGACTGTAAACTAACTTTTTCTTTGAAACCTTGCTTAGTTTTATCGTTTTTTGGCTTTTTTCTTCTGCAACAGCATTTACAGCATATACATAATACTAAAGCGAACACAAGCACAGCACATGCTACGGCTATCGCTATTATTGCTGGCAATGGCACTAAAATGTATTTATCGAAGTAAAAATGATATCGGCATTAACATCTAAATCGCCTAATCGAAATATTGTACTGTATCGTGATACATACAAGAATCTAAACAGGCCAGCACATTTAATATTTATAAAGCACAAATCTACACATTCGTAAAATAAGTATGCAATAAGTTATCTTACATGGAAAATTTTTTAACCACTGCGGTAAATGCCCCGTAGACGTTGTAGTTTGATAGATGCTGCTAGTTGTAGAGACCATACTACAACAGATAGGCTATCTCTCGCAGTACGCTGAGAGTAAAATCTAGAACTATCAAAGGAAAGTATATTTTAAATGTTAATCAATATAATCTGCTTTTCATGTAATACTGTAGGATCAAGATAACGAACTACCGTAACATCGTCATTCTTATCTTTCAAAATAAGCAAAGGATTTATATTCCGCGGACGATTAGACACTAATAATACTCTATATTGCTCCTAAAATTGTTCGACATCTAAATTGATATACGAATATTTTCTCATTTCTAATTTTGCTCTACATAGCATTCGTTACTTGATGTCTATGACAGCTTCTCATTTATTTAAAGTTGATAAATGGTATACTATCGTATACATAACTGCTTCTCATACAGATCGCCGAATAGATATACTACATGAAACTTATCCATACATATCGTACGTAATCATTAGCTAAAGTAGTGTTTCGGGACAAAATTTTGAATTAATAAACAGCGCTAGATCATTGCGAGTTATCTACATTTTTGGTTATTTCGTTATTATTTTGATATTACTAACTCAGTGATTCTGATTTTGTAAAGTGACTTAGGCTATATGTCTTTGAATAGAAACAGATATAACTCTTTCTACCTTATCATTCACAGTAACAACTACAATCATTTTCTCTTAAAATAAATTAATGTTTTTGCTTTTAATTCCTTTAAATAATAATTTTCCAATAAAATGTAGGATTTAAAGTTTTTTCACGCTGTTTTTATACGAATTTTGATCAATGATCACATTCTGAGATTAAATATTGAAATAAAAAAGTCGCAAGTGAAATCAGGAATTGCTATTTGCGAAGGATCTCAAATTTATGAACCGGCGAGAGTATACACATTTAATGTCAATAATTTGCTTTAGTTAGTCAATATCAAAATCACTCTAACTTACCGTGTTGTTCTTACGTAGACCTTGCTACGTTTTATAAATAATATTAGAACGTCGTTCGGGTAATATTTTTTTAAGGAACAAACTTGTTACCTTTACTTACTTCGCCAAATACTGGTTTATCAAGTGCTTTTAACTACTTTGACCTGGTGATAGCATTGGCCGTTACAACGATTGGATAACTGGGAAAACGTTATCGTTCAGATATGACATTTTACGCCGTTGCTGACTTGCTAAATTTTAAAACAAGACGATAATAAGACAGCGACCTTTGTTTAAAAGATTCTAGTCGAAGTATAAATAGAATGGAATTGTCTATACTCTTGCGATTGATATACAGTACAGCAGTACGGCAACTCTGAACACCTGCGTAGATACTTATAAAGTCAGCCTTAGCAACGCACATTCGCTGACAAAAGATCTACTTACGTCAATTATTTATATACTTCATCTGCACCCGCCCAATAATTTATGAATTCTATGAATGAATAATCTAAATTTAGATCGATTTCTTTGTTACCAAGAAATCATTACTGATTCGTGTTAAAGTACCGTAATGGGCTCATCCTACTATTAATAATTAATCATAATGTTAGAGAGAAAACACAAATACAAGGTACATTTCTATATATTAGCCAAGCATGGAACTACGATAATTGTATTACTGTATGTAACTGTACATGGGCATGAGCGCTTCCAGTTCTAGATATCACTTTTCTCCTATATTAATTCAAATGACTAGTTAATGAGTTATTCATGTATATGGTACATCACAAATTGGCCCCGTTAATCTAATAAATAAACGATATAACTTCAAGTTGAAATGTATAGCAATCATAACCGTCTTAAATTAACGATAATACACACGCTGCTTATAACAACGGGTATACACATTATCGTAATAAGGTAGGTTTACTTTCATTAGAAAAACGAAAAACGCGTTTTTTTGTAGTACAAGGTTGACCTATATGTAGTTCCTTTATTTGGGGCAAGTGGAAAAGGTTAGGATTTAGTTTTATAAAAAGAAAGAAATAGTTTTCCCAACATTGCACGCGTCAAGACTTGGCCCTTAACAAGTGTTAGTATGTTTATGAAGATATAGTAGATAGACCTTCAGTGAAATCAATGAGATACACTTTAGATCTTAGAGCAAAGGAAGAATTTATTCTTGCGGAGAATTGATCACAAGGAAGCTTTAGGCAGAAGTGAGATAGTGTAGGCAACATTCACAGACAGACAAGAAAAAATAGGTAACAGTAACAGAGCAATCGAACATTGCACTATTATTATGATGTACTGTACTTCTGCAAAGCTAACAATGTCAATGCAGTACTGTACACTGAACAGTGCACAGTCGATACAGATTGCATACTACCACACTGTACTGTACAATACACGTTGTAGCATAATGAAGTATCATATCGAACGTATAGCACCGCACGTACAGTGAATGTACGATACAGGCGTTCCATATTACGCGTTACCGTTTTATCATACTGTACATGTACATAAACTCATAAACTCAAGAATTAGAAGTAAAATGTACAGTTTATGAATAAATATCATATCATAAATATCTTCAGTATGTACAGTATAGTGTATATCCTGAATACGCTCAGTCTGCTACATACTGTACTTCAACCTAAACCTTCCTCTGAGTCTTCTTTTCTCTATCTGAGATACTAATAAATAAAAAAAAATATCTATCTTATCCTCTACTATACACGTATCAGAAGCATCCTTTGCGAGTACTGTAGACAATCCGGTAACATTACACAGGTAACAACTGTGTGTATGCCATACTGTACTGTACGGTACACAGCGTAGAGGCGTGCCTTTACAAAAATAATATCGCTCTACCTGACTCAAGCCACACATTTTTGTGTAAAGATGAGTGCTCCGTCCCTCCCTCTTCCGCTTCTGTTAGCATGGTACAGTACTAGGTTACTAGAGGTGTCAATTATTCCAGTACAGTACTGTACACTACTTATACCGTAAGTACAGTTCATACAAAATATCGCAAAACATTAGTGTTGATTTATCTAAAAAGAAAAGGATCACGCTTGTACTGTACTTGTATTCAACTGAGCATACTGTACTGTACAGTGTACAGTACAGTATCTCATCTTAACCCTTTAATGTAGTGTTTAAAGAAAGTTAAAATACCCTTTCAGCGCTTTACTGTACTTTTCTGGGCCTTGTTCAGCTATTATAACTTCTCCATGCTGCATTAAAATCGTGCAGTGAATCAGCCGGTGATACTGTATACTGTACTGTACAGCATACTGTGTGTATAGCCTGTCAGATTCATAAACAGATTCTATTGCTATAGTAACAAGTAACTGGATAGTACTATACTGTACTGTAGACATTGAATACTGCATGTCCATGCCTTTAATTTAAACTTCAAAAGCTACTGACCATGGTAAGAACGATTGTCTGCTATTAAATTTATTTTAATTCGTTATTTAATATGTATGGAATATAACAAACATAAATCTGCATGTTTCAGTATGTGCATAAGAAATTACCTTGCTCTATGAGTTTTAGCAAGTTTTCTACTATCTCTTTACATGATCAAATTAAAGCTGATAAGAATAAGAATTAACACTCTGTTATTAACTCATAACTCACTCTTGACAAAGTATTTATACGGTAAACAGCTACTAGTACTAGCAATAGACAGGAACTATGGATAGCCCTTATTATTATTTCATAGACAATGTGCAGAATCCTTTCCACCCTCCTTTGCAGAACTCGCAGATATTTTTCAAGATCATATTACACATCCGCTGCGATTAAGAAACAGATATAACTCTACCATTTTAAAAATATTCTTCCAGAGATTAGTTAACTAGAATACTAAATTAATAAAAATTAGAAAATAATACTTATTTAACAATCAATTAATCGTTATTGATTTATATTCGATTTAAACTTTATTCATTAAAGCCTGCTACTTTACTTTTAGCGTAATATTACGTACGCGTATCGACAATTAGCGATTTATCACATTCACTAATACCGAACCGGAACCTCTAACGCTCATCATACTGACTATACAGAGTACATATTAATACCATAGAAAGTATAATGTTAGTATAACCTCTCACTACATACTTTATACAGCAACTTCGAAAATATACGGTATAAGCTGCATAATCAATTGAGAATTCAGTTCTATTGCAATCCTCTTATATGACTTCTGCTTTTCATGTTTAGTTGCCTCTTTGCTACTTGCTTCTAATAAATTGATCCTCTCCTCAATTTCCATCTCTCACTTTACTAACTGAACCTGATATCCGAAAATATTACAGCAGACTGGCCAGATATGCTACTGTGTATAAGAAGCCGGTTGCTAGTACCTAAGAAATTTCGTTTTATTTTTGGCCTAATTTCCATATACGAACTCTATATTTTCCAAAAGCCACGCTCAGCCGTGATACATAGCAGTAAGTACGACTAAAATGATTTTATCATTTCAACTACAGCACTATGTATACTAGGGAGAATGGGTATATCTAAAAATCTCTAGATATACCTCTTAAATTCCTGAAACTGTACTAGTATACATGAAATGCAATGATATTCAGTTTACGATGAGAATTGAAAAGTATGATACAAATTTAGAATTTCTGGACTAATGAATAAAAGAAGGCATTTTTTATCGCTACAACGGTCATCAACAACCAATAGTGAGTATCAGCTACGGAAAACTGACAAAGTTTATGGTGATGAGGTAAGAACACTATTGGAAAATACATTCTATATAAAGGTGTTCAGTACTACTTTATTACTAATAAATCGTGCAAACGTCTTTAACCCAAATATTAGAAAACAATATTGCCGAATCTACTAAACTCCAGGTACCATCAATTCAGATACAAAGCAACCTATGTACTGTACAGAAAATACTCGGCTTAAATTGTAATTGTACTACTTCGTATTTAAACATATCCTTCTCATTCCTGGAATCTCTTCGTATCATCCATAACTATCCTGTAATATCCTATATTTCATGAACTTAATCAATACCAATTAAATAGACTTCATAATTAAGCATAATTATTGCAGGTCTCATATTATCGTTCTTATTGTATTCGTAGATATGAGTTGTTGTGTATTCCACCAAAAGAGTTTACTCCTATCGCTATCTTATTTTTAATTACACCGTTATCAACTTGAACGTCTAGTTTCTACTGTAATGCTATGTTTTAATTTGACTTCTAACTTCAGACCAAATGTACTCTGTACGAAGAGGTGAAACTTACTAATTGACCTATCTTCGCACTAAATCTCATAAAGTTTTCCACGTTTTTTTCTGGCTATTCTTACCGATTACAGCAATATAAGTTGAACATATGGCCCTGTACTAGTACTATATCGAATACCTTGATGTTTCTATATTTCAAAATTCAAAGACAGATGCGATAGACGCTGCACAAAATATTAGTTTCACCTAATTTAATTGCATGTAACCAATATGCCCAGCTGTAATTAGCTTTCACTCAAGATACTTAGTATAAAATCACTATGCATCCTGTAGAACGTATAAATACCCTTCGCGCATCACTCTGTTCTAATGAGGCAGATGAAGGGGATTTATTATTGCACGCGCACACAAACATAAAGAGTATTGCGGTAGTTACACTTACTTATATATCTTTACTTATAATACATACGACTTATGTGAATAATAAACTGTTAGAATGTAGTACAATTTACCGAAGCACTATCAACATCGAAATATCATTTAATTAATTATTGACACTACGGAATTATAAGTATGCAAATAATCAAACCAAAGAGCGATGGTTCGGGTTCAGCTAATCTAAGTTATCTAACTGATACTTTACGTAGTATGATATACACTTAAATGATCCTAAACAGCAGTGGAGATTTCTATACACGAAGTATCACTAACCATTTAGTGTCGGTTATATGAATGTCAAGCTTCGATCTTGCTCTTATCAATTTATTTTACACTACTCTCTACAGTTAGTATATTCCGTTGCGAACTGACCTGGGGTGCTAAATAATAACGCCCACATTTACCTTATTAATAAAACTTCTTTTTTCGTTGCTTACCTATTATTAATTAATAATCTTCATGAGCTCGAGACGCAACATTACTGTGCATAGGAGAGAAAGTAACAACTGAGAAAGAATTTAAGTATTAATGTATTTAAGTAATTCTACAGTAGAGCAATTACTTTTTCTCGGTGAAAATAGATGGGACAGCTGATAAGCATGAAAATTAGCAAAGCAAAACCTTTCTTTATGAGTTGCGATCGATTAAGTAGTCCCGGGGAACATTCAATGGTGTTAGCGGCCCCAATCATCATTGATCAGAAGAACAGAACACTGTACACGAAATATGACGGAGAACTTACAACTACTGTCGTACCTTCTTAATCTTTCAAACTACATTATAATTTATTAAAGCACCTAAAGATACTGTGAAAGCTAACAAAATTCAATTAAATCTGCTATAAATGTTGATGTGATCGATTTAGCACATACTTTACACCTAAAGCGATAGAGAAAATTAATCCAAAACATGAAAAAGCGGAAGACATATCTAAGAACTGCGAAATTATGCCATTGCATAGAACTAAGTTTATGGTATGTCAAAGATATTGAATATACGTAGATTTATTGACCTATGGTACAACCTCAATTCATTTATCTTTTCTCAATGAACCAGTGGGAATATAAAGCCTGCAACAGTCCTTTCCTATCCTTAAACAGGTACAGCAGCATGGTTATGTACAGTACTTCAGCCTGTGAAAATTGTGTGATTTTTTACAAATTTAAAAGTTTTTGCGTCTATTCTATTAAGTACAGTACGAATTTATGTATTTCTTTAACTAATTTTCGTATGTAAAAACATAACTGTACCTACGTTTACGTCCATCACTGAAATCTTCAAGAATATGAACACATCTTGAAACAGAATTACTTAGGTGCATTAACTGACGAGCATTGTAGATTTTGTCATTTCATCGCCGATATTGTAATACCGTAACTTAGGCATTTAATACTGTACTGTATTTTCTCTGCGTTATCAATACTAGTAGTGCAAGAGTAACTAGTTAGTGCTTCAATGAGTGTTACGTATTACATTTAATAACTAGTACCTATAAACACAGTAAACAGGGTGCATCGCTTGGTCTAGTATTCCAGTTTCTGCAGTAAGTACAGTACGAATGTGTGTTATAGTTTCTAACATAAAGTTGATATCTCGATTGATGCTGTAGAATAAATGACTGTGCTTTCAATAACCCGTGATACGGATAAAGGTAGAGATGCTGTAAATTACACTATATATGATCTGCAACGGATAAAATCCTAATGTAATAGCGTAGTTAAAGAATTGCGTTCTCGTGATTCATTTTTAACAAACAATTAAGTAAAAAATTTAACAATGTGGCTGATTGATAACAATTCTAGAATCCAAATTCGTTTTCTTACCCTTGTAGGCAATGAACGTATTTGTTTTTTTGTCTAGTATTTCACAACACCAAATAACGAAAGAGCAATTACGAAATAAGAAAATTATCACATCCTTACAGGTTATTATTTCATAAGAAATAAGTTTTTTAACAAGAGATCTCATAGCTACTGTATACTAGAGGCATTGATATGCTGTACATGCGCTTCTTCTCAACTTTTACAAATAAAACTTCATCATCTGAAGAATCCATCAACTTATAGCTGGCCTAGCAGTGAAGATATTAGATTGAGAGTTACACCAGCGAAACTATTGAATAGGTTTGCAATATTAGCTGCCGCTAACAATATAATTAGATGATGATTTTTACGATTAAAACAGCTTACAAGCATGCTTACAATACATCATGATTTCAAACTACAAAATTTAGAGAGATTTCATTCGCAAGTAATTTCGGCCGCAGAAGACTGACGAAATTTCCTATAGAATTATGCGATATAGCGAAAGATATGTATTTAGGAAAAGGGTTCAAGTATGTCACACCTGTTTTACGTAGCTTCTAGTTTAACTGCAGATAGGGACTTCTCCAAAAAGAAATTATTTTTTATAAAAATTTTTCGTGAAGTCGTTGCTACAAAAAGAATAGATCAACTGAATATAATGGTTATCTTTTAAGCATGACCTTCCCAACAATTTATATTTGTTTATTGATGTCGTTTCTGAGTATTATTTATCATATTGACTAAATTCAAAAATTTTAGTTCTAAGTACCTGCCGGAACACAAGCAACTAACACCTCTGCAATCTATTAAATCACCAAGGAAAACGGTATGAAGGCTTATACAAATCTGTTTTGCGTGATTCTATTTTCCCATCTCATAGTACTTGATTATAGGCAATTGACGACAAGTCCAAAAGTCAGCGATTTGGTAAACGAATGTATAGCAGGCTGCCTCGTAAGCATTACTCGAAGAAAAATAACGCTAAAGATAGTGAGACGTATATTCAACCACCTATTGCGGACAATAAGGAAGTGCGGTCTGTGGAAACTGTAAAAATGCCATTGCAATCCATAGTAGTGTCTGCTACTTTGCATCTGTCCACGAACAGCCCAATAATGGAAGACAGCAGTATCGAAAGGTTGGCAATATACTATACTGTACATGTACACTGTACAGTGTACAGTAAATTAGTCATTTAACCCATATCGTATTTCTTTTTCACGGTAGCAGTATAAAATGGGCAGTATATGACCCATGTCATTCAGTACAGAGATTGTGTGATATACGAGCATTATATATAAAAATTAGTATAGGATTAACACCTTTGAAATCGTGCAAAATGTTGTTAAAATTTTTTAATTTTGGATTTATTAAAATGGTAGAAAAGCGACTAATACATGCAGTAAAACTTTCTCGAAAATATTAATAAGCTTACGTAGCTTAGAAGTAAATCTATGATCTGTATGCTGCATTTGTGTGCGATATTCTAAAATAAATAATTGTATATAGGAATGACGTAGAAGGAGAAGATAAAAATTCGGAAAATATAAAGTAAGAAGTTCCGCAAAATTATGATTTAACTTTTACTGGTGCATGTTGGCTTGCTACATTGGAATTCATTATGTCATATTTACTGCACTTATCCTATGCACCATGACATACCTAGTTGTCTTTATGTAATTTTAATAATATGATCTAAAGGAACTGCTAAATACTTAAGAGAATAGATTTCCACATAGATTCGTAATTTTTTAAATCCTAGTATGTCTCCGAAATCTTCTCAACTTGAGAATCCGTTAGAGGTAAGTTCATCGCTATAAAACTACAAAATTTCTTTATAGGTGTTTCTATTTATTTAGAAAGGTTGCAGAGTGTAAGAGATAGGTGATGATTAATCATAGTTGATAAAACTGAGACAACTTTTACCTTCAAATATTTTAATTAATTTCCTTAAGCAATTAGTAATCTTTCCACTCATCTCGCGTGCTATATATATATTTAGCCACAGATTTCCAGCCCAACTATCAATAATGAGAAGTTAGGTTCGATAATAAACGAATTTAAATCTTTAGATGCTGATTTAGACGGGTAGGTATCTAGGAAGTATACTGTTGCCTACAGCAATCAATGAAAAAGGTTACTAATTACCATGTAAATCTTTATCCAACTCAATAAGGAGACTAGGATTTAACGACATTATAAAAATACTGCCTAGAAGCCTGTCTTCCAAACAAAGAAACTTTCTGAAAAAGGTTTAACCATAAGATTTTATAAATATGAGCATACGTACATATATCTTTTAGCATAAAGAGTCTCACTCGTAGCCTACGCCGTATTAAAGTAAGCAGGTCTACTCAGTCTAGTACAGTACTGCAATTCCACAGCGATATATTTGTATTACTTAACACTGAACATTTCGTATCGCTGCTATAACTAATGATCTGTCGATAATTTTATTTTCTGTGTTCAAATATACAGTACGTACAGTACAGTATAAATAGTAATTATAATATAACTCATTAAGCATGGTTTAATTAATTAATTTAATTTAATAATTTAATATTTATGCGCATACGTCCTGAAAACTGCTATTACAATACAATAGATTCACTGGATTTCGGACAATACCACGTTCTTTGGCGTTGCGGAGTATTACACGTTTAAGTGTCTATGCGATTGCCTAGCAGCAATGAGGTACGAGTATATGATATTTATTCTGACTGACGTACTCGATTAATATTGTGGTATATTAAAGTTTAATCGCGGTTTTCCAGTCCGATGGCAAAGCAGTGCTACGAAAACTTAGATTATTGTGAAGTTGAGGATAAAGAGAATTATGCAGCATTGATCGTACGTAAATCTAAATAACACTCCCTTTTTTTATCTTCGATTTTTGCTTATTTTCAACTCAACTGCATATTGTATTGTAACCGTGATTTTTGTACCCATTACATTAATTGCAATAATTTGTTTGTAAGGTGAACAGCGTATAAATTTCTCATTTCACTGCTTCATATCACTCTATGTAATATATTATAACATTTCAGTAGTCTTTATGCACTATATTCTCACCACACATTTTTTAGCGAAATCCACGTATTGAATATTTGAATTTCATCGACACATCGATAGTTGAACAAAGTTAGTTTACGAACTTATATATAGTTATGTGATTGCTTCAAGATGGTCAGGATGTTAATAAGTGTGCACTTTTACGGTGCAGAGTAACAATTGTTAATAATATCTTTAAGTATGCTATATTGGGATTCTAAGCTGATTCTACTTTATTCATGTAGTGTACTGTATTATATACAGGTAATTCTTCGCTTAGAGTAAGTGCTACTCAGATACTCCAAAACAGTAAATTTCTTCTATAATATTTGACTATTCGTATCGTGTTTTATGATTTCAATGACATGTCCACTTTACAGAAAATCTATGAAGATTTAGACAACGGAAGCGGCAGGGTTGCCATAATCACCTTAGAAGTGAGTTACGGTTGATTGATTGATTTATAACATCAGAATTACTCGCTACCATTCTGAGTAAATGAATAATACTACTTAAATGCTAAATCGTCGGCTGACTATCTGTCTTCAGCGCATTTCACACAATCAGTCATAAAGACAATTATGTGTCTATAAGTACGATATTGCATTGAGCCTTAGTTCATTGCTTAATTCTGTTTAGCGATGCTTAATTACTGAAAGAAAGCTGAAAGTTTCAATACAGGCCGCCGTAGAAAAACTTGGGTTATTTTATGCGATCGTAAGTAATGCAATCCTAATTATAAGCGATCTAAAAATCACTATCACTTCTAGGTTCTGTCCATAATTAAGATCAGAGGTATAAATGTACTTGCAAACATACTTGTTCAAAGGAAGGGATACTGACATAAAGTATAACCAGAATAATCGTTATAACGATTTACGAAAGTTATAACTATATGGTTTAATGTAGTTTAACAACTTTTACAGGATTCAATGCATGATGATTGCTAACAAATCATTGCAATTAGATATTTCAAGCATTAGAGCATAATTAACTAAAAGTAACTTTGTAATTTCTATATGTCAATTGTATTAATTAATAACCCTTTGATACCGTTAGAAATTTGCACACTAATGCTATCACTTTTACAGAAATATTCGAACATACCGCAGGAATTTTGTTATGTAATTAAACCTCTTTTCAGTGTAGATCACTACAACTAACCGTATCATCTTTTAGTCACAGGACCTGAAAATTGATAAAGTGACATATATGGCACTATTACCATTTCTGACTTTCCAAATATAACTATGGCAATAGAATCATAATTCAACGTGTCGAAAAATATCAACTGAATATGACAAACTAAGAACAGTCTTGGTGATCCAATCTAGATATTTCTTCTCATTCTACTTATTGTAATCAATGTAATTGCAACCACCATCTATACTCAGTTTAATTGTTTTTTTAAATCTTATACACCTAATATGTGTACAAATTTCTGACGTATTTTAAGCAAATCTGATGACCAATTTGGTAACTAGTTTATTGAATAATTATTTGATTGATATCCTGAAAAATCTGTAACTTACCACTAACACTAAAAAAGAAATAAGTCAGTAGAAAGAAGGAAAATCACAAAAACTTCTTAGCTCTTCGAATTCAAAAACAAATTAATAACTATTTTGGCCACACTTAAGAGTGCTAATCTTAACTTTAATTGTTACTATTAATTATATATATTTATTTGAGCGACCAGTCTTTTATCAAGAAATGCCTAATACTTACTTTCTTAGTAGATATTACGCGTATGAATACAAAATAAATTTTGTAATCGAAAATTTCACTACTGAGACGAATGAAAGAAAGTATGACTAATCACAGTTTGGTTATTGTTATACACAGTACACGGTATAAAGTTACTGAACCTCTGTTAAATGAGCACATTATCGTAAACCGTCAGTAAAGCGACGGGAGTTTGCACTAGTATTATTAAATGTGACATCACGTTATTATGAAGGCATTCTGAGTGAACTATCAGAATATGCGTAGTTTAACTATTTGATGGAATAATCTTATCTCAAAATCTCTTCATAATCTGTATGTACTAATATAAACGATTCTGTTGTAGTCTCTGCTGCGAGTACCGAAATTCCTTCTTGATTTACCCGGTAGACTTATATATAGAACGATTCATGTTACGAATCAATATCATACGAATGTGATTGCTAATCTCCCAAGGCTGACATGCGATTGCCCTATTTTATAACATTATATTATTAACAACGCTGCCTACTACCCACCTTACTTTTAGCATATGCACGGTTAATAATTAATTTATCATTTATATTCTTGGGAAACTTATTATACTGCCTGAAGCAATGGCTAACAATTAATTATTGTAGGTCTCAAATTGAATTCTTACACAGTCCACTTATACCTTTCAGTGATATTGGTACATATCCAGCTTATGTAAAAGTCCTGAAATAACTCGCACCACTTTTATCAATGATTGCAATCTAATCTCATAGATTATAATAGGCTTACAAATACAGTTCGCGTAACAGTTTACCATAATTCTGTAGAGTTCCATAGAGATTACAATACACATACAGAATTTGCAGTTAAATAGAGCACTGCATATTAATTAAAAGTCTATTAATATAGAATACTATGCATACTGTAGTGTATATATATAGGACTGTAGTTGACCTAAGCTAGTAGAGGCTGAATCTCATATCGTTTTCATGCTGGTATGGTAGAGTGTAACAGTGTACGTAACATGAATAATCATTGTCGATGGAATTTTGGCGATAATGCAGAACTGTAAAATCGACCTTTAAATAATGGCATAAGGTGATTCGGGACGGGAAATTAATTATTCCTTAATTAAAGCGATCGATTATGTGTGATTACTTATCAAAATCTGGTTGTAAACTTGTCACAAACCAGCTTCGTGACAAGGATAACGTAAAACAAATCTCTAAATTACTACAGTCTCCGGGATTCAGTATCCCTTAACTACCTCACAAGAATTTAGACGCCTTTGCTTCTACGTTAAACTTAACTAGATAATTGAGAACTACTTTATTCAACTATCTGACGGGCTTATATACCCTTCTACAGCAGCTAACATTCATGAGTCATCTTATAAAAATACTTATGTGAGAACATCTACTAACTAATTTTTCACAGTCGGACTACAATAGGTCCATTCACAGAATCATTTCAGTGCACATTACAGCACGCATTAAATTTACTGTAACACATTTATAATTAGAGTAATTCCTATTGTAAGTAAGTAGTTGTAATATATTATCACTATATTATATTCACCAAATTTAGATAGCTATTTCTTCACGTTAGTTCGTACCGTGACAAAACTATAAAAATTTTGTGAACATGATTTAACCCATGAGATTGCTTATTATAATAATTTAATTTGCATTTTTACTCTTTTTACATTAAATACAAATTTATAGATTTAAGTTAATTCCAGGTGGTACATTCATTAATTAATTATTCATATTAATCTTTCAAGATAAGATTTGGAAGATTGTCGAAATGAAGTTGTGTAGTACTATAAATACTATTGAGTATTTATATGTTTGCTAAGGAAAGTTATTTTTATTGATTGTCTTGTATCAGTTTTAATTGAAGCTGTAAGTGTGGATTGAACGTTGCACTTAATTCCTTGCTAAATTATAGTATGAATTTGAATCAGCTGCTTCAAGATAGACTTCGATCATCCCAACCAATATGTAAGTATAGGAGGGTAATAAATACAATTCGATTTATAATTCGTGTACACTTAGAAGCGGATTTCGAGTTAGAGTATAACAACTAATTATAAGTCGTCACTCCATTAACCTTGAAATTCATTACTTCGACATGCATAATTTGCGAATTTCACAAGAGAAAAACTATAAAAAACTATAAAATTATATCCATAAGAGCAACGTTTACTTTTATTGTAGAATTAGACAGTCTTTAATGCCAGTGAGTATGAACCTAGTTGATATCGCAATCATTCATAGTAGCTTGATTTAGTTACTAAGGTGCATCCTGATTTCAAGTAAAGATAATTAAGCGTATATGATCTAATTAATGGCACAAGATCAGAACCATGAAAAGACTTAACAATATTGGTGAAGTGATGTGCGATTTAGATGGAGACGAAGATAAGATAGTTCAGGGTAGATAGCATTTACTCATATTTACGATTGGAGTTAGGAGATGACACAGAGATAAGTTAGCCTCGTAGCAGAGAAATTTAATGCCATAACGATTCCGCAAGTGGAGTAAGAAAATAACCCTTGTTTGATCTAGTGTGGTATCATGAATATGGCTTTGTAATCAATTTTGTAAATAAACGTTTTTCGCCCAATTTTTTGATAGTGAACTTCTTACTACTAGCATTTGTCAGCATTACAATTGATCTTTAGACTTCGAATAGAAGCAAGAAAACCGCGTATGGAATCTTTATTTTATCTACTAGCCTTCTTCAAAAATAGCAAATATTGTTCCTTATTAAGGGTTAATGAACAAGCTAAGCTATAACTGTTTTTGTTAATTTTACAGATCACGATATACATATTTACTCAAACATACTGCGCTGTTCTACTATGATTCTATACTATGCGTACATTTAAATCTGCAATTTCAATTCTTAATTAATTATAAATACTGTATCATTTCATTACAGTGCAGTGAGTTAGTGATAACCTGCAAAGCAAAAGGTATAAGTACAGTACAATTGGTACAGTGTAGCACGTGAAGTAAAACGAGCGAGGAATCAACTAGTACTTAATAACAATGCAGAGATATAGGATTGGCGCTATAATAACATAAAATACAGTTTACTGTTTTGGACAACAGTAGTGTTTAAAAGAGATGATTGCTGAATTGGTAAGGGATCAGTCTCTGATTCATCTCTAAATTCTTTACTGTACATGAGAGTATGTTCAACTATTCGTGAGATATCTGGTATGAATTCAAAAGGTCTGATATAAATGTCGATAGGCCAGTCAGTTATCTTGTAGAGTAATTAACGCCATCAACGAAATTATGGCAATTAATATTTAATAAGCATGTAAACTTATGCAATATCTTGTAAATTATAACATGTATGCTAACCTGATTATGGTAGGTTAAAAATACCAGAAGCTCACGTAATTGTACGCAATACTGTATTAGTATGCACGAATTAGCGGAAAAACTGACTTTTTCACCCACCAGGAAGTGTTGCGGTAAGTTGGCAGAGCTAGTAACCTTTGTGTCGTTGACGGACTTCTAGTTATCGAGCATTAGTTTTATTTTCTTAAGATACAATTGATAATATGCGAAATCTCACACCAGAAATCGCTATTTCATATTGTAGGTAATTGATTGCTAACAATGACTAGCAATTTTCTAATAGATAGAAACTTTACATTTACGCGTTACTGTGCAAGTAACGGCGGAACAACGTTTACGCATTCAGTATTAATCGAATCATCATTCAGATATAATTGGTTTTTAGCTAATAGGACTGTAACACTAATTTAACGAAGTTAGTTTTAATACAGCTCTACTTGGATTCTCTGTAGAATTCCTTTTCTGAACAATATCTTGTTGACTAAGAGTAAGTACCATCCGAATAGGAATTGCTTTCATACATACAGTCCAACCCATAAAACCAAGAAAAGAACCCCAAAACCTAAGAAAAGGGAAGCAAAGAAGGAAACCAATAGCTCTTTCTTGAGATTTCTAGTGAACCTGTTAGAAGTGACCTCATATCTGATGATGATATAAAACATAGTCAAGAAATATCAAACTCGAACTCGAACTTGTGTATTAATAAATTAAGAAAGCTTTTACTAATTTACGTAAATGATAAAAAAAGTCATGGTACAGTACAGTATCGTAAAACATCTGACGAAGCCATAGCGTCTTCATTTTCTACAAGTTATCAATCATTTGAAGCTGATTCGTAACTCTCATGAATAAAGAATAAAAGGCTTAAATAAAATCGACAGGAAAATGAAAGATACACAATAAACCATGACATGAAGAATATTCCAATAGCCAGAAGTAAAATGCTGAGCGAAGGAAATGATGCTGGATTAATAGGACTGACATATCTTATCATCGTATTCGCAGTATCCTGAGTGTACGTATAAAATAGAAAGCATGAGGAAAATTTTACATGTGCACTTGCAGTGTTCAGTTAAGTTAAACTGTAGCTCAATCCACAGCACAAAGCATCTTAAAGTACAAATGCGGTATGTAGATATAGATATATAATATACGCTAGATAACAAGCTGACAAGCTCACCATGATGATGTTAGTTTTTAGGGACGGAAAGAGATGTATAGATATTAGTTGATTTTCTTGTTCATGTAATAAGGATGGCGACCGTTTAAATTCTAGTTCTCAGCAGTATTTACGCGTAATGTACACGAGCGAGGGATCTAGAGTACTACATGTACAGTACTGTCCTGTACAGTGTACAGTATTGTACAGTATCTACTCACTACAGTATGCTCACTTGCTCGAATTGTACTGTACAGTACAGTAGGCCAAGCCGTATCAACACGGATATCACGAAAGCTGCAGGGACTCCTCAACCAACCCCGGCTTCAGAATATACCGGAGAAAAGTTAAAAAATTGGCCTTTTTACTGGACAGCGGGTCCGGTTATTTCTAGACTAACTAGTACAGTTTAAGATTAAACCGCGAAATTTACCGGAACCTGATCCAGTGACACGTTTTTACAGAACGGTTTACAGCACTGAAATTCCGATACGTAATGTACTACAGTATACTGTACTGTACAGTACTGTACTAAGGGTCTCTAGTGTACAGGACACTAGAGATCACCATACAAATTAGAGGTTCTCAGGCGTGGCGAGTTTGTACAGTACAGTACAGTACATTTAACACGGTACTGTAGCACCAGCGCAGTCATCGGATCATACTGTAATAATAATAATTTAATAATAAAAAAGATCGAAAAGTCTGCACTGTACTGTACTGTACTGTACAGTACTGTATACTGAATACTGATGTTATGCCATTCCAGTAAATCTCGAAAGATGGGAAAATAAAAAATAAAATAACTAAAGTAAAATTAAAACAATAATCTTACTTGAAATACAAATGTGAATAATTTTGCAGTAAAACTTTTACAATCCAGTTCATCACAAATATGGAACACAATATCGACCATAGGTTGTTGGATTCCCTAGATAACGCCACTAACGAAGATGAGGTCGAAATTAAAGGTACAGTGTAACACCAGTACATCACCAGTATGCTGCACAATTTTCTTTTTCGGTTCCTCTTTGCGCTAGGACAGTAAAATTGTACACTCTTATTAAAGGTTAATATGCACGAGTAGACGCAAGTGAAACCGATAAATACAGTAATTTATAATAAGTCAGAAAGTCAAGAAGAAGTAATTCATAAGATTAGATAACTCTCTCGTTAGGTTTTACTTCGCGTGTAGTCTACACCTTACACACATTGCTATTGCTGCATTACAGTAAGTTCTCCATTAATTTACTGGTGCGGAACAGTCACGGCAATCTGATTGATGCAAGCAATTTTTTATGACAGTAGTATCTTCTTTAGTACTCCCTGGTAGTAGTACCTTCCTAGTAGAAAACTACTAATTCATAACAGCACTGTAATATGAACTTAACCTACGATAGTATATTACTGTACAGTAGTGTACAGTATACAACAGTATATGTGTACAATGGGCACAATTTTTAATACAAAAATATTTGGGGGGATTTAAAGAGCTATGAGAGTTAACAGCATCAATACGTAATCTCGAAATACGGTAAGATAGCTTATTTTTGATAGTTTACCCGTACGCTTTCCTTTATTGTATACGTACCACAGCAAATTGATTGTACACTTTCACCGTATCAAGGTTCTAGTAGAAAAAGTCATTGAATTCACATCAAATGTTCATTCTCATGTAGTTATAGCTCACAGGACAGATTATTCGCTAGTACTTATTGGTTATAACTCGTAAATCAGTCAACTTGTTGTATTAGATTAATTCGCCCTTTCCCCTCTTAGATGAAACAGAAACTAATCGTTGCTGTAAGGTCTACTGAGCATATTATTTTATCTCTTATAATATGAATAATTACTACATTTAGGACGTGAAGATTTAGCTTTCATACAGGCTACGGTCTTCCTAGAAGATGCGATGCACGTAAGTGGTGATCTTCAGTCTCATCACGTTACAGTATCAGAAGTTATAAAAAATTACGAATGCTTTATTAATTAAATTTTTAAACGAAATTAATTGTAGGCTTTTTAACTTTCGTGTTTAAGCAGTATAGATCAATTCATCATAAGGTCGATGGGAAATCTCTGTTGTTGTATCGTTTCTATTATTCGAAATTTGTACAGTGGTTCGTTCGAGACTGTCAAACTACCTAAACTTGATACATAGTAGATATAATAATTAATTCATCTATGACGATTAATTATATATATATATATATTATTAATTAGTTGATCAAATTATTAATAGGACTTTATACCTAGCCATTACTGTTATCCTTGGGCTAGCTTTTTTTGAATCGCCTTCTTCACTTACGTAAGCACCGTATAAGTATGCAAACTGTCCTAGCAAATAAGTAGTCAACTCGTTTGTAAGAAGACTTCATACTATTACGAGCAAATATCGAATGTGTCAATAGATGTAGATAATTTTAATTTAACATTCTTATCTAGTATTTTTATTTATACGCGTGTATATATCGTGTATACATAAATTGATAGAGTTTCTTCAGATCCAACGCTGATTCTAAGTACTAGGCCAAAAATACCGTGCGTCCTGACAATATCTGTAGAACTGGTTTGTGTGATCATTTTTGGCTCTGACTGTTTTTTAAAGGTGCAATATTACGACTAATTATATAATTAATTCGTTAGTCGTATAAAAACGTACTAAATAATTCACTTAATGGCTACGTACATACTACAAGCTCTATGAAGTACCCGCGTTTACATGGTATACCTGTACAGTTTACACACATGTACATTAGTCTCCGGCATTTTGTAATTATATTTTACTACCTATTAACGCAGAGAGCACTTTCAGCAATGAGTAGTAAAAATATAATTACAAAATGTCAGATACTATTGTACATCACCTGACTCAAGTCTGCTTAGGAATAGTCCACTATAGTGTATGATTATAGTATTGAATTCATCAGCGTGAATCCATTCTTTTAAAAAGTTGAAGCTCTCGGGTCGAAGAAATATATGGAAAAGTAAATGGTTGATAGCATATGTTCTAATCATCATCATTACATTCATTGATTGGATTGTTTCCGCATCTTATAAATGTCAGGAGGTATTTCTTTATTATAGCTAACGTTTGATTTTTTGACATATAGTATAAGGTTCAGCTTCGTTACTTTCTGTAAGTAAAGAGTTCTTGGTGGCACTAGTCTTTTATCTCGTTAAAATTGCGACTTTACTTTCACCTTAGAACTTTCGTATACGAAGAGTTTTTCGTCCTTTCTTTCTATTACAAAATTCAACGATGATGAAAAAAATTGTAAGTTTGTAATACTTTATTTTCTGCAAAACTGTATTTTCTTTTGATCCTATTTTTGGTATATTTTAGGTCAAGGGCATCAAAAAAACATTACCCCAAATATTGAGGTATAAAATTATGCCAGATTTATATCTATTTAACTGCACCGTCGTAATATATGAAAGTTATGGTAATGCAAAGACTAACCTTCGCTTATTGCAGTATTCTAGCTGTATTGTGCCTTCATTTGCTGTTATTTTCCGTTCTTGGTATGCTATTTTTTCCTCCATTTAAGGTTTGTATACCTAAAAAATGCATGCAAAGATATTTTTTATCACTTTCAGCTAATCTTGTTGTCTAAGAGCTCGCCGCAGTTGGATAGGGATGACAGCTTGTTGAATTAGAACCTGCTTATAAATAGTACAATTGTGCTATACTTCATGATTAGTCGGCTAATCCCGTTAGTTAGCGGCTATTATCTCCTGTAAGTATATTTATCGCTTCGCCAGTTTCGACTTACCTCGTACTCTTTCATTGCATAGGAAGGTTCGGAGGGGAGAACTGATTTTGGCAGATTAAATAATTCTATTATAAATCTCTTGGTGTTATTAACAACAGCTAATAATCCAGACGGTATAGTAATGATAATGATTTAGTTCTATTCACCACTTTTATTTATGAATTGTGGTTACTGCATTGTAAGCTTCCTGCTATTTATTTTATTTCCTATAGTGACAATGCCAGCATATAAGCAGAACAGGCTATTTGTACTTTTTTTTATGATATTTCTCACAATTGGTTCGTATAAACAATTAAAAGTTGATCTTATCTTGACAGGAATATCATTATAATTCTGAAGATAATACTAATGATGTCCTGTAATTAATTTTCCGTAGGACTATACTGTCTACTAAATATGTTGACCGCTGTCATATACAATCAATTTCGTGGGTCATTACTAGTATGTAAAAGACGTAACGTTCAGATTGCTTAAATTTCTAAATATATTTATAGTACAATTTTAATTAATGTACCTCTGTCATTGATTCCTCATCCATACAACGTGCATAGTATACATTGTCTGTGCCAGCTCAAAGTACTAATAAATTTTTTGAGTACTTACGTTGTTAAATAATCAAAATTTTTTGAATACTTTTATTTTTATGACCTAGAATAAGATTATGTTTCCAAATGCAAAGTTATCTAATGAGTTTTATTGCAAATTTGATAAATACGTTAGGCTACAATGTTTGCTATTCAGTATGAAAATTGCTTTATATACTTAATCTTGTCCTAAGTCAATATTAAAGTCCTGATTCGAATTAATGCTGCATTAGTTTTGGTTTTAATCAGATAGAAGGTGGAACGATACTAAAAGAATATTAAGGATTTTTTTCCGATATTTATAGGAATCCATGCAAAGTAGTTATCTACGACGAAGAATTGGTATTCAAGCTGCATTCGAAATTTTACATGCTGGAACTTGTGAAAAAACTGATAGCAACCAATTATCTTCACTGGAACAAGGCAGACGGTATTTACTAATTTAGCTAGACACAAGATGGGCAATATTCAAATTTAAGTCTGCTGATTTAGGATTGACGTCAAAACTGTCGAAGTACTTATTCACAAAATTAATATCGATAAAGTCTACGTTCCTGTTCTTAAAGAGGTTTTATCGTATCGACAGTAAACACTGTTACTAATACTTTACCTAATATTGCTTAGATTCTTCATACATACTTTTGAACCGAATGATACTCTTATGCATATGTTAAAGGCATTACAAAATTACGGATCTCAACAATTAAGTAGCAGCCAATTTCATGATTTAATGGACTTGTATTATACTGAAAAGTCTAATTTCGCTCGGGTATGCAGTTTTGTGAGTAAAAGCCAGAATCGGCAATTTTTTTGTTTGACAGGGTTCCTATCTTTTACTAAATAGGTACCAGCAATTCAGTTTTCTACAACTGCTTGGATCCAGAAGTTTCAGAACTTTATCATAAGTCGATGGTTTAATTACTTTAGTGATGTTATCGCCTTAATAAATACAGTTTTTATAATAGTACGTTTCATGCGTTTAGAAGTATGAGTTGTAGACTTTAAATATGTTGCATTACATAGATTAATAAGGATTCGATAAATGATCAATTTTTGTGCACTCAGGTACTGATTTCTGGTGATATAAGTCAGCCGTCACGTTCTGATATTCGTAGCTTATGGGTATTCTCAATAGCTTAGTGATGTGGCACCTTTATGCCTTTATCTGTTTTAACTGAACATCAATCTTACCAAGTATGCGATTGCAAAATGTTTCAGGTTATAAATTGCGCCTTTTCGATTTTTTACTGTTTGGAACAGGTAAACAGACTTGAAAACTTAATTTATTTCGTGATATTTGCAGTATGCAACGTAATGGGTGCTGTATTACATATTATTACCAACAGATAGCCAAGTTATGGTCCCTAGGATTGAAACGATATATATGTAGCTTTGTAGGTCTTGTTATTCATGTTGTCATAGTAACTTATACCATTTAGCTTACAAGTTCTTTGCCCATATCGATTATATGATTATTTTACGAAAACTGAGAGCAGTTAAAATAAAATAGAATTATGATTGGATAAAACCATTTTTTCTTCGTCTCTAGGATAATTTATACAATACCTTGGTAACTTTGTCTTTAGTGGTAATGTAATATTTTGCAGTCTTCAAAATGAAAGATTGTTAAAACAAAATTTATAATAATCATTACCATCATATTCCCGTTTATGTCAGATTGCTGAACTGGTTTGTGTCATTAAGTACAGCGATATCATATTTCGCTCTCTGTAAGAACTATTTTTTCTTTCATTTTATTTTGTTAGGCTAGGAAATATTACATAAGCATTAACATCCTTATTTTGCGTACTTAGGCCTGCGCCTGACCTTGAAGGCTCTTGGAATTGTATTCAAGTCGTCAATATACTAGTAGTTCTACGTTTTTTAGCTATTGTATTTCATGTGAAGGTAACTGATAGTAATTATATTATATTCTAATTATGATTCTTGTGAATGATATATATAGTTACTTTAACACTTCATTAATTCATAAATTAGCTTTGCTAAATACAGTTTTAACCTTGTATCTCACAATTTCTCTAGCAACTTTCTTTAGTTTATGAAACTTTGTTGGATACACTGCGAAATTTGAAAGCAATGGCTGGTGTCCTAATTGTAAGGATCCATGCCAGCAAATGAAATCTTCGATGTAGTAATAAAGTTATTATACGTGTATTTCTCCTGCAGGTAATTTATTATGTTTTTGCTATCATCGGTATGGAATTATTCAAGGATTCGATTCCGGTACCTACAACGAATGAAAGGTAACGACTTTTGTAAAGTAGATAATGAAAGTTGGCCTTTGCAATGTACTGTACACTTGTGTTTGATATTTTGAACGAGTATTACTTCTAGTTATTACTTTGAGCAACGCATTCATTTTACATTTTTTGTAGCTGTTGACTGCGTCTATTATTTATTTCAGTGATATTAACTTCACTTGTGGAACTTATCAGCAATTGGATTACTATGCAATTAATTTTAATGATTTCGCGGTATGGGCGACGGTACAATACAGTATACTTGTGATAGGTTATTATTGGCTTTAACACTGTATGTCATTTTATGCTTACCTTATAGTCTGCCATTGTAGTACTATGGAATATCATGATCGTTAACAATTGGCACGTCTTTCTGCGAGCTTACAGAGAACTTGTCTCACCGTTAGTTTATTAAATTGGCTATAGAATGTAGCCCTCCCTTATCTAAACGCAACATGCTTGATGTTGCCATTGTTGTGAATCTTAATTGATCATTTCATCTGTAGCTCTGTAATTTTTAAAAATAATCTTTTTATCGGTAACTTACAGGTGGGCACAACTATACTTCATCGCTTGGTACCTGGTTTGCGTGATCATTTGCTTGAATGTATTCATTGCGTTGATTTTAGAAGCATTCATAACTAGATGGGATACTGACAATAGACCACAGCAGGATGACACGCATATGAGCAGATTAAGCCTGCATAAAATTTTTAGGTAGATAGCAATTAAGTTATGCAGCAAACTATTTAATTGAAGAATATGAGGAAGTTTGGTTCACTAAGCTGATATTCTAATTGTAAATAATGAATCTTCAGAAAAGATTTTCAAGAACCTACGGAAGATGACCTACGGAAAGAAATAACGTTTCATGAATATTTAGGAAATTCCTGTTTTCGCCCACGTGATATTTAATCTTCTGTACGCTCTACTGTGAGCAAAGCAGTTCAGATTATAAGATCTGGCGAAGTCCTATTCGGCGCATACGGGTAGACAGTGTACCTGTTACCTTTAAAAGCGCAATTTATTGAGCCACGAAATTAGAGATCACTCTGGAATAGTATTTACCGATGTTGGGTTTGTATGTTGTGGACATATACTTAATTCCATGTACTCGTATGTTTGTAATTTCTTTTACATTAGAAATTGAATCACGTTCTCAAATTATATTTCTTACTCATCATGATTAAAGATCAATTATATTCAAAAATTTTAACTTTGTAATAAAAAAATAGTTATATTGAAATCCCAGATAAAGAACTGAAAACATGCAAAATTGCGAATAAAGATTCCAGTTATAGCATTAACAGTGAACTTGCATGTGGCCACACATACGAGTTTTGTGACAGATTAACTACCATATTTGGCGTCACTTAATTATCGTTCCGAACGTAGAGATAAAAAATACTAAAACGTATTGTGAAGTTAACATCAGACTGATATAAGATAGAGTCAAAGTTAAGAAGTAAGCATCGACGTCTGACATACATAGAAATAAATGAAATGACGATGAGTCGTACAATTTTTATAATATATAATAATAATAATAACATACAATTAATTACCAAATTTTATTCATACAATTCGCGTTTATGATATTTTGTCAAGGCTTTAATAGTCTAACGCACAAATTAAGGCAACGCCTCTCTTAATCCAATGCTCCTGCGGCTTCAGGCTCGGTACTTCAATTGATAAGACGAAATTCGTGGAATGTCCAGTGGTAGATAGTGTCCCTAGTGAAATGTCACCAGATACAATTGTAAATGATAGATAGATAATTTACGTCAAGCATGCTAAAACTTTTACCTGCTCGAGTAAGCGTCTTATAGACAGGGCAAACATAAATACCATCCATTGGCATAATTCGATTAACGATAGGCTTTAGCCATACTATGGGCATATCACTGTAAAGTTCCTTCGGCCTAGATTCTGTGAGACATTTAGAAACATTATCCCATCTAGCACCTTCCAGAAATAACCCACGTATATAGCATCCAATTTCTGGCTTTCCTTCGAAATTGCTATCGTCCATCATACTATAATCGAAGGAAATTGTGTCAATTGATACAACTTTTCGCCTTGCGAAATTTTGCAGAGTCCCAGTTAGAAAAGCCTGCGGGAAAAAAAATCCAGAAATCCAAAATACTGCCGGAATTCCCGTATCAACCCAATTTCGGATATATTGCACCCTTGCTATCAAATCGCTAACCCAAGAAGCTAAAGGTTTCAGAGATGGATATGCTCTAGAATTCCATGTCTCCGGTACTGCATTATCATATATATTGCTTGCCATTGTTTCAAGGGAAGAAGACATAACTACTAGACCTTTTAGCGCTTTCAAAAGATCCGCTAATGTGTTAACTATAATCTGTAATAATCTATTATAACGGATCACTTCTTGGATTAGTACCGTATTCATAGATTCTTCATATTTCACTGGATATTTAGAAACCACAAATTCAATCGATATTGCACCAGGTATAGAGTCTAGAATCGCTCTAGCGGCTTCTTCCATAATTTCTTCTCTAGATCTATCGATTCCTTTTGAAGATCGAGGTTGCAATTTTAGTATATTATTAAGTAGGGTGAACGTCTCACTCTGCGCAAAAGTTATGCTGGCATTTTCATGTAAGCCGAAGATATCTGGTGAGTCATTAATTGGCAGCGAACGGATGTGATGCATATAGCCTTGGTAATCAACTGACGGATTTATTTGCCTATAGGTTCCGTTATCGCAGTAACTATGATCTTCTGATAGCACACTGCTGTTGTAATAATCATCTAAAATGTTCATCACGCATCTTCTATCCCATTCATCCGTAACTCGACCTCCGTAATTTATATGGCCGGCCGTATACTTTAAGACTTTAAAGGGCACTTGAGAATATTCTTCCAAGAACATTTTTAATTGACTGATGCAAATTCTTAAATCTCCATCAGTAAATTCATAAGGAATGTTTAATCCTAATGGTCCAAATTTACGACGTTCCAAAATAACTCCGTGAAATAAACACAAGGAAAATAGCAAACTTTTAAATAAAGAGCCTTTGCTGCATGAATTCATGAACTCGTCGTTAAAACCGCTAAAAGATTTCAGAAGATTTGCCTTCATGCCACGAGGCGGTTCAACGGTCATCTTTGAGCCATTTTGCAATACGGAGACTGGGAATTCAGGACTCGGCATACTAGTCAACCACATACGAAAATCACGATGAACTTTATCATGATCGATACTCTCTATCAATCTTTCCATTACCGGCATCCAGCTTGGAGCTAGATGGCAATTTTGAAAAAATACCCATTTCCCTCGATCAGTTGCCGAACGCATCATGGCTTCAGCTCTCGGTCCTTGTCCTTGCCCTAGAGAAATCGCACTAAGCTTTTTACTGAATCTCATCTCTTCTGCAAACTTGTATAAATCCGCTGCTGGGTCAGTACCCGGGGATAATACAAAAATAAGTGGAACCACGTTAGAAGAATCTTTGTATGCCATAGACAAGTCTGTAGTTTGAGGTTCGATAAACTTTTGGCCTAAATGCAGAGAAACAAATTCCTGCATGGCATTGCTAAGTTTATCAGCTCTGATGCATCGTAAAACCAGCATTTTCTGGAACGGATTAATTTCCTCGTTCCACCGACCAGGTAGTCTTTGCTTATGGGGTTCTGAACTATCAAATATTCTTTTAAATTCTTCAACATGTATAGTGAAGTCTCTAGCAAAATCTCGAAAAGTAGACAATTCTGATAGATGTAAAATTTCCGTCCATCCACGTTCGGATAGCCATTGTGAAGCTGGGTTAGGTAAATTTTGAGTTACAGCTGCCCCTCCTGTAAGTAAGAATCTCCACTCAGCCATATCAATAGCATTTTCGTCTTGTAAGATTCGGGAACTTAGCAAAAATGCAAATAATAGCTTGTGCCTTTCGAATAAACTACGACAAATGTTAGTAAATAAACTATAGGTAAAATAATCGTTGATATTTTCAATCCTAATTCGAACTTTGTCAGCTCTATCTGCATTGGAGATTCCACTTAAAAATATACCGATAAACCATTCAAGCGAGTACTGATACATGGGGTCTAGCTTTGCTAAATCTGTAACACAAAAGAATAAGATTCTTGTTCTTATAGCCACTGGAATATACTCATTTCGTGTTTCATCAATGTCCTTTTCAGTTCTTTCAGCTATTGCTACACGGGATTTTATCTCCTCAGACTTCGCTTTACTCGCCTCTAATGTCTTAATAAGATCGATATCGTCAACTGGATTACCTTCCGACGCAGATAGTCTAGCTAAAATTTTATCTTCTATTTCTCTTAGCTCTTGTCTCATTCTGGCATTACTCAATATCAGTTGATTTTTTGCCTCTTCCAGATCTGGTCTTTCTTCCGCAACAACTAGAGCTAAGAGTTGATCTTCCAAACCGCTTGGAGATAATGTGAAGTTGATCAGGGTTACTTTGGATGAAACTTCAGGTGCATAATGTGGATTTGGCAGTTTAGTCGCTATGTATAACTTAAATTCATCGTGATAGGGTATGATAGCATCTCCTAACTTGACTACGGTTCCGCCGGACTGCTTGAAAGTATGCTTAAGGAGAAGTGGATCCAATGCAGGATCCAAGTCTTCACCAACATTTTCTAGCAAGCAAGGTTTGCCAAATCTAACTGCATTTTCTAAACTCCTAAGGAAATCACGATCCGTCAATTTTAAAACATCTAAACCTTTATCTTTCTCCATATTTTTAACCCATTTGTTAGCTTGCCCTTGTGGATCAATAAATAGTGGCCACCTTTGAGAGTACTGTGATATCATAGCATTTTCAACAGACAATGCATCACGAGGTAGGCCTGAAATTTGCCAACTTCTAATTTTAACTGGATCGCCGAGGGTTGAAACTAATGATGGGTGAGATGAATGAGGAGCATGCAGCTCTTCAAGTTGTATTTTCCATTCATCTAAAAGTTTATTCCTATATTCTCCAGTAAACGGACCCATATAAGCTATGTATGCAGCAGATATTAGAGCATCTCCTACAATATTTATTACTAATCTATCAATTTCTTCTATTGTATGTTGCCATCGGATCCTTTCATCACTAAGACCTTCGATCAACGTTTCAGCTCTTGCCAGTCTAGCGGTACATTCATCACATTTTAGTTCTAATTCTTCCTTTCTAGCAACACACTCCTCATACTTGGCCTTCATAGACGAAATTCCATCTTCAACACCTTGTAATCTACTCTTAGCTTCTTCTAGGATTCGTTGAGTTTCCACTAAGTCTGCCTGTGCTTCTTGCAATCTTTCCCTTTTCGGAGCAACATTTTTGGCCACAAAATGATATTTATACATTGCACGAACCCATTGACAAATAGATGTACATGCTTTAGATACCCTAGAGATAGCAGATGGTTGAAATTCTTCGCTGTCAATATATGGTTGAATTTTGTTAATTATCGAATCTGGTATATTGTCTTTGTCGTATTTGAATAAGCTATCCAGGAATTTTCCGGGATCCGATAATAAAGCCTTACCGGGTTCCCAATAATCGTCGACCTTCATACCAACTTTGTCTCCAGCAACTTTTCTGGGTTTGATACCCTTCATAATGCTAACGGTTTCAATAACCATGCGCACGCCTGCTGGTGGTTTGTGCATGGTACGGACTTCAACGACGTCATTTCGATTTAACGATTTCAAGCTTGATAGAGCAGCTTCCAAAGCAGGCAATGCTTCATTTAGTTCTCTCTGCGCTTCATCAGCAATTTCTTGTGTTTTTTGAGCTTGTATAGCTGCTTGTTTCTCTTCTTTCTGAACGACGACTTTAGTTTCTTCCGCTACTGACGTATCTTTCTTAATTTGCTGCATGGTTTCAGAGGTTTCTATGGCTGCCCTTTCTAAAAGTGGTCGCATTGTTTCTAATTCTTCTTGTAGCTTTTCAACTTCTTCAGCAGTAGCTAATAGCTTATCTAATCCTGTCTTAGTTCTATCCCTTTTTTTGATCAACTCCTCTTTCTTAAGAGTAAATATCCTGGCGAATGTTCCAAGGAGTTGCAGATAGTTAGATGGTGTAACATAATAGTAACGAGATAATTCAGTCAGATATAGTTCACTCCTCTCACAAACTGATTCATGCATATTAACACATATACTGACTAAAGCATCGAAAACAGTTGTTGTAACGTCAAAATTTGCTAATTCTTTTAAAAAGTGTTGCGCCACAGATCGTAAAGCTTCGCTTGGCCATTTAGAGAACCAATCAATTGTACAGCAATTGACTAGCGACGGAAATTGACGTAACCTCTGGCGAAAAATTTCTCCTATAGGGCTCATACAGATTACGCAATGTATATTATTGCGGACTCTCTTTACAAAAGCAGAATACAGGTTCGCTTTAGTCGGCTGTCCTCTTTCGTCTAGAACTACAGGTTTCATAGAAGTATAGATTGTGTCAAGTTCATCAGAGTTAAACAAATTTGGGACATCACCTGAATTAAGAATATTATTAATGTCCTCTAAAAATGTTTCATTCTTGATCTGAGTGTCAGTGAATAAAAAAACTATAGATTTGTTTTCGAGGCCGGCCTTTTGCATGATACCTTTAATGTCTTCTCGCCATTCAGACATCCCATAATTCTTAGACAACTCAATCTGGAAGCAATCATATTCGGACATGTGAGCTGCTAATTTCGTTAGCGATTGACGTCCACTACCGCCCATTCCTAGTAAAAGAGCGTTCCCGAATGGTTGTCGGATAACTCTACTAATCCTCACTATATGCTGCACAGCATCCATAAAAAGAACTAATTTTATCTTATTAGTAGATATTTGATTGTAATCGTCAAGATAATCATTTAATGTGGTAATCATGGTATTTTGGTTGACAATTTCTTCGTAATTCCTAACATCAGATGCTTGTTGCATGAAATCGCCGTAGAATAGAAGTTCTGTGGTCTTAATACCAGCCAAGGACAATTGAAAACTTTCTAATTTTGAGTTTATAACCCCTTGAAACCAAACGCAATCGTCTATATCAATAAGTCGATCTTGGAATACACGACAATTTTCGTGAAACCATAACCTTAGTAGTGCGCTTTTATCTGCTAGTTTGGATGAATCCGCCATTAACATACCCTGAAATACTTTTGATAAATCTCTTAAGTTAAAGGTATAATGGCTTTTAGCAGGAGTTGGTAATAATTGAGAAGTAATTGTATTATAGATGTCAATTGTAGCGTTGACAAGTTGTTGACACAACGTACTCGCATCCGGGAATTGGCTCATCCAGTTTGTTAATATAGTAGAAAAAATTCTGAACTTACTTTTATCTTCTAATTCAGTGAAAGTTAAGTAATTGAAATGTCTAGTTAGGCGAGAAGTTATCTGATTTCTACCTCCTCCTGGAGGACCCATAGCACATACAAAATTTAAATCGACCAATTCACGAAATTGCCCGATTGCTTTACGATCGTACCATCCTTTATGATCACACCACTGGCGTATCAATTCGATAGGTGGCTGAGCTCCATAAACTTCTAAGGAAGGCATATTTAAATCATCAATAAAAAAAATGCAACTTTTTCCTATCGGTGGTCCATAGACACCTTTGCGTCTCTTGTCGAGCTTTCCATCTATGACATCCTGTGTATGATTAGCATTTGTACGAGCAGAAAATATAATAAAATGTGATAGATAATCTTCCGGCATGTTCCGTAGTAATTTATCGCTAACGGTTAACGTTTTACCGGTGCCAGTTGGTCCAATACATAACACTCGCTTTTTGTTAGTCAATAACAAATTCAGTAGATATGAACCTCGAATAGTATCAGTCGTAGGAACAATAACATCAGCAAAACGAGAATCTATCGGAATAGCAAATTCTTCAACACTATCGATCCATCTTACCCATGAAACCGACTTTTTGTTAATTTTCTTATCATCATCGTCATCATATGGGCTTGAAATACAATAGTCTAATTTATAATCAAACACAGTTCCCATCTCAGGAAGACTTAGTGCAATCGGAGTCAGTTTTAATTTATTTCTTAGATAGCTATCAAATTTTATTCTCCCATCCATATCGCATGTTGCTCCAATACTCCAAACAAGTGCAAATATAAACCACATTTCAATTAGGTCATCCATTTCCGGTATTCCATCATTATCATTTGGGTATCCCTATTTTAGAATAAAAATAATTTAAATTAGTCTCACCGATCCTAATATGCATCCGGATTATATATATTGGATGCATTTACTACATCCTGCTTATACAGATACGAACTTCTTTCGGAATAAATGGAGAGAAGAAGGAGTCGAGAATATTACATAGGCTGGTTACTAAGTTGCTATCAACTGTAGTTACAAATTCCTTTAAATTTTGCCTCATAAAAAAAATAGAATCTTGCAAATAAGTATCGAATAGATATTTAAGTTTATCTTGACAATGCTTTGCAGGTGTAGGCAATTTTCGTAGCCAGCATATAACGAAAGCTTCTAATCCTAAAATGCTCGGCTCAAGATACACCATTCCACATCTACTAACAGTGGCGGGCGAAGCTTCCGAAAGGTTTGATACTTCAAACATCATAGTTTGCTCTTCTGTTAATTTAATAATTTCCCCACTACTTAAACATAACTTTTTGTTATCATCAAGTACGGTATTCATATTCTCAATCCAAATGGCATCAACAGGGCCGTCGAAAACGTACCACTTTTTATCAGTTGTATTGTTTGTAACTCCTTGTCGGATTAATGCAGATAAAATTCCATCAGTCCATTCATGTGTTAATTGATCAAATTCGCCGTATAATTGTCCCATTGTAATTGATTTTGGATTTAAAACATACGTGAATACTTGTTCATAATTTAATCCGTTACTAGCTTCTTTGCCCCTTAAAACACTTAACGCTCTTTTTAATACTTCGTAGCACTTAGTTTTTCCTGATCCAGTTGGTCCTACTAGCATCAATCCGTGCCTTACCACTGTAGTCTCGTACAACTGAATACATTTCGTTACAAATCCATCAATATCTAATAATCCGGATTTCTTGCAACTTTTTCGTATTGACTGTTCTAATTCTCCATAATCTGCTGGCTCCTCTCTCAATCTTGGAAAGAGATCCGATATAATTCCATTAAAGAGTTTCAAGTCATCCATCAAAAATTTCGGAACATTTACGTCTCTAATAGCCCTCAATACAATTGACTCCTCATTTAAAACTTGATTTTCCCGTTTAAGATTGCCAGCTGCTGAAATGACGGTCTTGACTGCTCTCATTCCAAAATCATAATGATCTTGAGAACTTAATTGTTCCGATGATAGTTTAAATGTGGTTGTAATTTTTCTTGATAGAGTCTTAGCTTCCGAGAATCCGTATGAAAATAACATAATTTCTGCAATCATCGCATAATCAGGCACCATCATCGCAACAGGGCGAAAAAGAGCCTTCAGGTTATCCGGTAATTCAGTTCTCCCTGCATAACCAGGATTCATTGTTACAAATACGGCACATGATGACCTTAACGCAATTTCAACACCTTCGAAAATAAACCGATCTACTTTCTGTTGTTGGGCTTTTTGAATGGTAGCAATTTGTTGAGCCACAACCGATAATACTTCAATATCAATCCGATTAAATTCATCAAAACAAGCCCATGCTCCAGCACTAGCTAAACCTTTAAAAAATTTTCCCATTGCCATATAATCTAATTGATCGGAACAGTTAAAGACTACACACTGTACGGCCATAGCTTTAGCTAAATCTTTAGTAGTTTCTGTTTTTCCAGTTCCAGCCGGGCCAGCTGGCGCTCCCCCAAATTTTAGATGAAGAGCACCGGTTAAAGTCAAGTAACACCTGTCCGTTAAAGGCGTAATTACTAATCTACCAGTGTTTCCAAGATATTCGGATCCATACGGAAATTCAGCATTTACTACCCTAATAAAAAGTCCATCTTCCCAGTAATAGCGTAGCTGTCTGATCCATTCGAACTCATTTGCATTAGCTATACCTTCTTCCTTCATTTTGAAAACTACATCTCTTCCGTGAACCTACGGGGTTAATATATTTAAAGCGGGTAAACATACACGGAGAAATGCGTCATCAAATTATGCTAACTAAAATTTATGACACCCAGAGAACTAGCGTTTTTGATTACTCTCAACCTTCTCTGCTGAAATATTTTTTTGTAGCAACTAACCCATAATTATACTGTACAGTGTACAGTATAGGATGGGTACTGCAAAATAAGCATACCTCGATAACAATCACAGCTGACAGTATCAATCGTTGCAATTTCGTTAAATGTCCACGAACGAGTTTTACCAAATCATCTAACTGTAATTTTAATATCAGATAATCGTATTAGATGTATTACATGCTAATAATTGTCTTACAGGGGACTAAGTTGATTACCTGATCTAGTAGCGACTGATATAGGCTATTTAATTGACTGTTGTTAATAGCATCAGTAACTAATTTAGTCCAATAAGTTTGACATCCGGCGATAACGATTTGACCAGGCCATTGGAGAACCCAGTCTTTTCGATCCTCCTATGGATTTGCAATCAGTATCTCAGAAATTTCTTTCCTAGTTAAAGCTATTTAGCTAATGCTATTATAAACATTAAAATCATTGACCTACCTTTGCGTACATCATCAAAGCTTGCCGTAGAACTTCTTTGATACTGCATTTCATGACTCGTTCAACCTCTAAAAGCCAATCTTCTACGTTACCAATTGGATATACCTCCTCCGAAAAAGGTACTTTTTCACCTTCAGATGATAGCATTGCATTGATCTTCAGATCGTTTTCGAAATTTAGCTTTGCAAATAGAGAATTAATTCGTTTCTTTTTACAACTTCGACCCACAAAACAATCGAAATAGTGTAAAAATATGATACCTTAGCAATATTTTCGAAACACTTCTTTAGATGGGGTTGAACAGCTGTAGGATCCTTAGTTTGAGATAAAATCTCCAGTAGCTCGTCATCAGACAAAAAATAAAATCTGGGAAAAGCAGTTCTTTTTGTTTCTAAGTAATCGCTTAACCCTTTCTGAACTTGATCCAAAAGTCGATTACATTCTTTCAAATTTTCTAGCATTCTACCATCTGGACATAGGGAGATCACCTACGCATGGGATCAATATTAAGTTATATCTACGCATATAGTATCTATTATACAATGACAGAACTTAGTTACTGTTGTGTTTTATTGTTGATTGTAATGTGACATACTAAAGTGAGGTAGCGTGCTACTAAAATATGAAACTGCTCAAGGTGGATTACCTTACATATGTAAATGCCGCATTTAAATGTAAATGATAATTGCGTATTTGTAACCGGTTAAGTGCCCATACGCAATAATAATAACCCAACCAGTTTGTACGAAATTGTTATTACGGTAATAAATGTTTAATCTAAAGCAAACTAAAATATATCGTATGATGTAAGCAAATGTACATTTCTTATTTTTAGCTATGAAATCACTAGCAGACAAGTAAATGACTTAATTCTTTCTAAATAAACTTTGTCTAAAACATCCTATAATTATTTATGTGATCAGTTACAGTATAGTACTCATACTTGCGGATTTTCCTTTGCATTCTTCATGATCTTTCTCCATATTCGATCCATTGTTTGAAATCTTTTACTTTCAACAGGCAATTGTCTATTGATGTCCTCAGAGCCGAAAATTGGTTCTAGATACAGCCATGCTCGTTGGCAAGATAACCATTCGTCCATGACGTCTAGTTCGGTATAATAAAATAATTATTACAAGAAACTTTGATTTAAGAAACACATAATTTAATAACCAACGCTCCTTGCTTTGTTCCTTCGGCACTTACCTTGCGTCATACGAAGTTTACCCTCCCATATGTTTATCCTATCTTCAAATGGTCTTTTATATGGCGAAAATGACATACTTTGCGTCATTACGATATGATCATCTAGCAATTGAGAAGTTTCATCTGTTGTTTTCATTATATAGCTTCCAGTTTGCTTATACAATATAACCTCCAAATTAACGGGATTCCAGTCATTTTCCATTTTATCCAAGGCCTAAAATTGTTAAAAATAAAAAAACTATTATTTTGACCGAATAAACAACTTAAATCCTGTCACCTTAACAGTATGATAATTACAGTTAAATGTCTTTTAACATTTTACTAATTTCAAGCGTTACTAAAGTCTTACCTGTTCTATTGAATACTCCTTTCCAGCAACTTCAGCAATTTTTGCTATGGTAGCTATATGATCTTGTAGTTTCATTTCCAAGCATTTAGAGAATGTAAGAGTTGCCTTCGGTACTACCGTAAACCCAAGTTCCAAAGACAGCTGTGCAAAAAGTCGTTATGGAAATCATAAGTTATTATCGCCCTATTTTTTAGGCCTGTTTGGTCAGTAATGCATAGTAATACTAGCCGTACGTGTCTTTAGTACATATGAAGTGGTACTCGATATGCTCGTATTAAATATTACTGTCTTGAGAATAGATGAGATACAGTTAGCAGAAGACAAACCTGCTCGTAATGTCTGCTTCTCATGCCCGGATTACGGAGACCGTGTATAAGTGGTATATAAGGCTTAAATTCATCTATTCGCTCTCTGATGTCTTTTGCAATTTGTTGTACCATTGGAATATCTAATGTAGAATATGATATTTGAGTCAACATTTCTAATAAATTCCGAATAGACAGTATAAAAAGATACTCGTAACTTGTAGAAGTTATGGTTTGTTTGTTAATTTAATATAAGATGTTGAAGACCTATGCCATTTTTATTTAAAAATTGTATAGACAAGTTCATGTTTCAGAACCTTTAAAGGCCTTATAACACTTATGCAGTGTTTTAAATGAGTTAGAGACATTATTTTCCAGCAGTTCAGGATCGATTGAAGTCAAAGGATCTTCCATCCAGCTCTCATGCCATTTAATCCAATCGGAAACAGTCAACCATAAATTCTTAAAAGGTTCGAAATCCTTTAAAAGTTTGGCCAGTTTATCATACTGTAAGAAATAAATAATTTCATCTTAGAAATAGTGACAACAAATTGAATCAATTTTCGGCAATTACTAAATAAACCATTATTCTATAAATCTTTGTATCAGCAAAGTATACTAACATACAGCACATTGTATATGAGCATTCTTATATTTATATTATAATATTACTGCAGTGACGAACAATATTGACATATTACCGATGTCACAGGCATGTCGAAAAGGCGTTCACGATTATTGTATAACGCAGCAAGAGTTTGGCATTCCTTCAATTGTTTAACGACACGTCGCACCTCGTTGGCAACTTCGTGAGCTTTTTTGACATCTGTATGGGCTGAGAATCCTGCTACAACCATCTGAGTAGGAATGGAAAATCGAGACTGTAGATTACACACAATTAATCTGGTCTATCACTGTAGATATTTTGCAAAGACTATCAAATCTTTGCTTTTAAGTTTCCTTCATTAGCTATGGATAAATACGCCTATTTTGCTACTTAGCAGATGCACTTGGAAGACGAAATTAATGTTGATAAGAGAATAGAACGAAGTTTTGCAACTACCTCTTTAATATGTGTACCTGTAATGTATCTAGTCGATCTTCAAAGTTGCTTTGATCGGTAACTTGAACCTTACGAAATCTTTCCTCATCTTTTTCTAATGATTCATCAGTTTGTTTCATTTGCTGTTCAATTTTATATGGCCACCCAACAGCAGTCCATCTACAGTAAAAAATAGTAAAAATATTAATTCAGAATGCGACAGTTAGTGTTATTACACTCTATACATTAGTATATTACATGGTATGCAACCGTGTAATAGCATTTAGATATAAATATTGTAGTATCGCCCATATAGAAATATTATAGCTTGTTCTATTGTATTATATCTTATAGAAATAGAAATGATACATTCCATCTGGCTTATCTACATTAATATTATCTATTGTATTAAGATCACATGTTATAGATATTCACGTGCACTATGATTGGCATAAGTTATATATTCATATCAGATCTTGTTCAGTCATTACAGTTTCTTCATGGTGTCTTATTGTCGCATGTATGATAATGCACTTAGCTCGGTAAACGAAATTAAAAGAAAAATTCCAGAGCTTAACCGAACGGACTGATAATTTCATTACAATGAACATCGTAAGAAGACTTTATAGTATTAAAAAGGATAGATAATATCATGTAATAGATAGCATGATAACTCTGAGAATTTTGAAATACTGGCTGTCGTTGCATGTGTAAGAGTAGGAGAAGTGATATGTACAGTATTGTAAACATAATTAAATATAATTATAAGGTAAATTAGATGAGTATACAATATTTATTACTAATACGTAATCATCTGTAACTCTTAATATGGTTGTATAAGATTTTATTATGTGAGATAGCATCGCTTACATCATAGCCCTAGATTTAGCTAGTGAAATTCGCGTATCATGATGGCATGTTGTGTTATTAATGGAAGTATAACACAGGTTGATGAATGATAAGATCAATTTTTTACCGGCTACTCTCAGAATAACTATCGTGTCAAATAATAACATAGATGCGTAACAAGAAGTATAAAATGAAGACGCAACTGAAAATCATTGCACAAATTCTGTATGAATAGAGAAAATCGTCGATAGTAAACCATTAATACACTCAAAGTATTCATACCTAACATTAAAATCATCCATGGATATGTTATAATTGAAGTCTTCAATAAGTTCATAATCCGTCATTGCCTTATTTATCTTATCCTGTTATAAGGATTGGCGCACCCATAAGAGAAAATATCATTAATATTTGAAATAGCTTTGACATTAAAGCTACAACTGACCTGATAATTGGTTAATAACTCAGGAATGGTCTTTATATAACTTCTAAGTTCCGATAAATCTTCGATGCAGTTTGGTTTTTCGTACAGTCGACGGGAAACAGCCTTAAATTCGTTACATATCTAATAGTGATAAAATAATCAGTTAGAGTAGATTTAGCGATCATACCAAAGATGAATATTTAAATCAGTACCCATAATTTTAATTTATATCTAAGAAATAGCTAGTATTATATATAGAGACTCTAAACTAACCTCGTCACATTGTTTCTTTAGCTTCTTTGCTAGTAATTCAAGAACAGCTTTGCTGAGGTCTTTCCGCTTTTTGGCTAAATTAGACTTCACTTGTTCACAACTAACCCAGAATGGCCCAATTATCAGATTCGAAGGGATACTGTCTCCGATCTTTATCTTCTCTTCCAAATGTTTTTCAACTTCTCTTTTAACTTCAGCTGGGGTATGATCAGAATTATTGTACTGTCTGTATTGTTAAAAATTTATAAAATAAATTTTACTAAATTTTAATATATTTTTTAATCATTTTAGTTACTGTATAATTCATCGAGGACCATTTTAATACACTCGTATTATATTCCTTGCCTGATGTATTCATTTACGTCCAGATTCATGAGTTCAACGTAACTGTTATACCTTTTTGCATATGCTCGAAGCGGTATTAAAGCTTGTTTAATACCGAAACTAACTGAAGCTTTTAAGTTAGTTACGAATGGCTCATGTTCGCCAACGGATTCTAGTATTGGAGTTCCGGACCAAAATAATTTATCCATTACCAACTGAAATTAAATTTAGCGCAATTGGTCAATGGTTATCAAATTCAGTTTATCTAAGCACTAAAACTTTCTCCGTAAAATTCACCTTTTCTAACTGAGGTACATTATATGTACTAGTAATCCCTTTTTCAAACAAAGACACTAGAGTCGATTCGAATTGCTCCAATGGAGTCGAATAATGGACTCCGTGAGAATCGATGACCAAATCTAGAAGAAATAGCGGATTTTTCCAGGGCCTTCCAAGAAATGTGAAAAGTGAAAAGTTATTTAATCCTATTAATGGTCTCTTAGACTTTAATATCAGTCACTGTATTTGATCCGTGATATGGTATAACGAAACATACTTAAAGGGACTATGAGTTAGGTCATCATGCCAAACGTAGTTTTCCGGTAACTTTAAAACGCTATCGCAAACATCTAATAAATTTTGAGTAAACGCCTTCAAAGAATCTTTCAATAAGTATCGAAGAGAATCCTATAAAAATTTATGATGAATTTAAATTTAACTTAATAGAATTTGTTAACAAATTAGACGTAACGCGTGAGATCCAAAGTGATTCGCATACGATAACAGTATTATGATAAATATTAAAGATACCAATTCTATTCGAAATTGATATAAGATCTTGACCTGCATAGCAAATTTCACCATCTCCATAAATTTTTTCAGCTTAGAGATTTTATAGACTTCCCAGTTTCTTTCATCCATATTGAACCAGCCTTTTCCAGTATCTCTTAAACTTGATAAAATACCAGCACGAAGTGTAGATATCCAGCTATCCCGCAAAAATAGCTGGGTCTACAATAAAAATTACAATATATAAACAAATAACGCTATGCAAAATCATACAGGTTATATTGATGGATTTTGCTAACCTGTGCGCTGGCTTGAGCTTGCGTTTGTTCAAACTCCTCTAATCTCATGCTTTTTGTTACTGGTAAATGAAATACGGACATTGATGCGACCTTATTGCATTCCGTACGAACTTTGCTTATTGCGGCAATGACTTCCCCACGAGTTAGTAAGGAACTAAATGAAAAGCTGTTAAATTTATCCTTCCAATTATAATCAGCGATATCTGCGCAACACCCTAAATAGACAAAGTTTCTCTTTTTAGACACCTAGGGGGGCCTTTGATGTTGACTTATGATAGATTTAGCATATTACCTTTTTCTGGAGTTGGTCGATGGGGTTCAATAGGTATTACTACGAAAGGAAATGCCTTAGGGGATGATTTCACAATCTTTCTAAATATCTGATCGTTCATCGAGCGTGCATAGTCCAGACGAATTTCTGATTGTAAGTTGTCTAATTTAGAGCTAGCGCTAATATTAAAATGAATAAATTTAATATCGTAATATAATAACGAAATATGAACATCTACCATATGCATTGTAAGTAAGTAAAAGCTACAAAATCGGTATAGAGATTATATTTATAAATAATTCTTTCTTATTCGTAAATTCTGTTATTTATTTCATTAACATACTGGATTTCAACACAAGGTACATTACCTTATATTCTTGAGATAAGGGCAAGGAGTAGCTGTAACAGAATTCATAACACGCGAAAAACTACCACAATTTAAGCTTTCGATGCCTACTGTTGGCATGCAATCGACGTATAAATTATATCGTAGCAAGCCTTCTGTCTTTGTTCTAGATAATACAGCATTTTTTATTCTTGCCGTAAAAGCTACAGGATCCTCAGCACAAAATAGTAACCGTATTCGGGCTACCCAAAAGAATTTTGACTCGTGTACACAGCTCTCCAAGCCCATTCCCTGATCTGTCAGTTTACTATCAAACTCGTCGTGGCTGTGAGACATAACTTTGACTTTATATAGTTTACTCTCTCTATCGTAATCAAGAACTCCACATTCAGTCCACCGGTAATGTTTCTCTGGATAGGGGATTAAACTTTTACAAGGAACTGGGTATCTTCGTGTATCTCCAATTTTATTACCTATATTATAATACCATTCAATAGCGGTATATAGAAACTGTATTTATTTTCCGAACCAAATACGAAACGAATACTATATCACAATATCATAAATACTACCTAGTGATAGCCAGTCCTCAGGTGTTCGATTATCATAATCTGTATCATCGAAGATCTCAAGAGGCAAGTAGTTGGATAAGCCATTTAAAGATGCATCAAGACTAACATCTTCATAGGAATATTTAACATTGGGAGGTACTAATACTGAAGTGCCTATTCCCTCTTTTGACAGGAGTTGTTCGATATCTAATACAGCAAATAATCTCTTCTGCCTTTAAAATTGAACAAGTAGAAGTTGCAATTAATTACTCTTGGTACTTCCTAAATATTATGAACGGTGGCTTTTAATTATAATACGTCAAAGTTGAAGTAAAGTGTCATCCAAAATATTAGCAAATAAATTTCATTAATACTTTACACAATCGTAGCCAAGTAGTTGGTATTAGCGATTACCTTTCAATTTCAATTTTACGAGGGGTTTGTCCAGGAGCTGTTAGGAATGGCATTTGAACTTTCGGTTCCCATGATTTAAGGAGGAAGTCCTGTGATGAATTGGTGATAATTTTTAGACAAGAAACTAAATTGGTAGGGTAATGTATGTAATAGCTATAGTAAATTTTAGCATTACTGATACTGATAAATCGGCAGAGCTCGGTCCGTAAATCTGGTTTTGAAGGACAGTAGTCAGGTTATTGGGACCTTGAAACGTATTCACTAACACGGAATTAAAGTGTGAGTTTATGCTGTTACTGAATGATTTTATATTAGGAAAGGAATATAAAACAAATGCCTTATGGATAACAAACCTGATGGTATGTAATCGTTGTTTATAATACTCCACGCAATATTCTGTTCTGTATCTGGGCCATTGGAAACATTCTAACTTGAACAGGTTTAATTATTATAATAATATGACTATGGCATCTGATGCAAGGTGTTATTCTGAATAGTATTTTATTTACCCCTAGTCGCTCTTGAGCTATAGGTTCTATCACATCGGAATAAAATCCTCTCTGTTTGATTATTGGATATGAGCGAACGTCTTGATTTTCGGATTTTTCTGCCCTTTTCATATCTAAATTGTTCATTACCAATCTTTATATATTATATTAGCTATAAAGTCATAACATAAGGAAATTTTTTGATTAATTTAAAAGATTTATCATTAAATAATCCTGTAAAGTGTTATGCTATCGCATGAAATGCAGTTATCCTATATATATGTATACATATCGTATATATAAGATGTAATAATATGCAAGAGCGTTGACAGAGAATGTGTTCGCAACAATTACATCGTACTAAGATTTAAGATATAGGTAAGAGAAGTCGAGTTAAGGTGTGCACGTTATGTTACGGGTTAGTTGAGATAGAACACAACAGCTATCGTAATGTACGATAAAAACAAGGCAAAATAAAGGAAATGGTTACGTTTGCAAGGTTGTTTTCGAAAACATATGCGAAAGATTTTTAAATAAAGTATTACAGATATTGCATGCAATACGGATCACCTTAAGACTATGTTATGATGTTATATAGTTACTACTGCAGAATGTTTAACCAGTAATGTTCGAATTCTGGGTGCAATAATTTAAGTATATATATATTTATTGGCGTTGGGAAATATGATCAAATTTGATAAGACAGGGGAATTTTTATAGGAGATTTGAAGATACATACCACCGTACATGAATTTAGCAACTATTTTTGATCAGATAGGAATACTGAATAACTTGTTAGCGATGTAGTCGTCGTCTGATATTATTTTATCTTTGATAGATTGTACAAGTACGGCATACAATTTAAGTACGCGTATCAAAACAACTACAAGTTGGTTATTCAATATAATTTATTGATACTGTATGCCGTACCAGAGATAGCTATAGCATCGTACATTTACGTATATGTATTTACGCAGCACAAATGAACAAACACATATTTCGTTGCCATGGTAACCACCAAAGGAGATGCTATATTGCTATTCTGTGCAACACGCTAGGCTGCGTCTACAATAATATAGTACAGTATACAGTATTGCGATTAATCTTACTGTATATGGAAGATCAATACGGTTAGGTTTAGTAGTGTAACTTGATGCCGTCAGGTACACTATCAACACGATACTTTGAAATATAGTAATGATGATGGACGTAATATTTTCTAATCAAGTAAAATGAACAATTTATATGCCAAATAATTACGAGAGATGGAATCTTAAGAGAAATATCTTCTGTTAGTAAAATAATGTTGCACATACTCGAGCGTGTAAACTACTAACTAGTAAAGTTGAGCTAAGCCGCTGGAAAGTACATTGTTAAGTAGGCGGAAATGGTCAATATAGATATTACGATAAATTATAAACAATAACTACGGTATCTGTCACTTGTTCCTGTACAAGCTCATCTAGAAAGTATCAGTAAGATCGTTGTTTTGCATTTATCGTCCATGTAGGGTGTGTTTCTCGGATATCGGTACGATGCAATGATTCTTACTAAATACTTTTTAAAATAATACTTGGTGTCACCCATGTAACATGTGATAGGACGAAATTCATCACATGATAAATAAGGTAGAGTCGTAACCGATAAATACTGATAATTATAAATTAACAATAAAGTGTAAGTTGTAATGTGCGAGGTCATGTGCGTATATTAGATCCAAGACTATATAGGATAACAATCAAACACGATATGCTGACGATTCAGAATAAGGTTTATTGCGAAAACTTAATACAGGATCGAGATCGATATTCTGAGATAGCTGTGTAACATCTCTATGTATTATAGCAAAAGACTACAGTACGTATACTCTGCAACTACAGTACAGTGCTTCATAATATAATTATTGTAGTCCTTATCTACTTTACATAGTCAGTGTTACTACACATGTCACATAAGTTACAATTATACTCTCGGAATAATCTCTTACTGTGGAATACATAAAATTTAGTAGTGCAGTGTACGGTATAACATTTAATAGTATAGTAATTTCTCGTTAAAGTTAAAAAGAGGCTTTCATAGACTTATAGTCTATAATGATAATACAGCATGTGATTTCTAATTTTAAAAATTTAAGAATTTGCATATCGAAATTTGCAACTTTCAAAATCAGTCTTCTTAATAAACGATGTACTGTACTTTTCTTAATATTACATCGCTTTTCTCAGCGCTATCGTTTATAAGATGTATTCGGGTCATTATACTGTAGTATACGCGTACAATATTTATATTCTGAGCTAAATTTACGTTATTGAAGGTGTAATCTAGTATCTAGGCTGTAGTTATATGTCTATTCTTTGGAGCGGATGTAGCACGTCTCAATATTCTCAAATGCTTTGTTTTGCATTACTGTAGACTAATTAACTAGGGTAATATGAACTTTGTTTAACTATATACGTACATACAGTATCCTGCTCTTTCATCGTCTATCACCTACGTTTACAATTAACAACTGGGATGCTAAATGCCTGTCTCATTTACGATTATACCGAAATATTGTAATTATTATACTATGATCTCTGTTATGTATGATAGACTGGTAATGTCTGGAATTAGGGCAGATAAATTGCATAGCTGCCTAACTGATAAGATAACCGTATAATACTAATACCGTAATTGTATTGACACGTTCACTAGTAATTTACTAATACGTATGTAATATATATCACTTGTGGCGAAGGCAACCGAGAATAAAGAAGTGGACTCCACGCTTCAGGCTACTTTGCAGTGTCTAACCTAGTATTGCGTGATTGACCTAGTATCGCTTTATTAGAGAACATAACGATCTCGATAGTCTCTCCAGAACCACACTGCCCACAATCTTCATATGATTTATGTCTTTCTACTTATAGACTGAGACGAGAGAGAGCTGATACATCCTAAACTAATCGCCTGATTCTATTACGCTACAGTTTACAGCTACTATATGCGGGTATAATTATGAGCATAACATCTACAGTATACTGTACTACCAGGGACTCCTAAAGAAAAAAATCTTCATCCTCTTTCCCCCCCCCCCCCGTTTTCCGAAAAATTTGCCTTCCGTCTAAAAAAGA